AAAGGCGCAGCTGGAGAGTTAGGTTTAACAACAAGGAGAGAGTAGGAGCGTGAGGTGGAGTGGGAATTTGAGAGGGAGTGTCAGAGAGAGTGTGTGTGTTTGTGTGTAGGTGAAAGGGGAGCTATCAACGGATAACTTGGCTGCCGATGGTGGGGTACAGGCGGGGAGGGGGAAATGTGCAGAAGGCCTGAGTTTGTGAGGTTAAGGGGAGGGGGTAAGCAGACAAGACAGTGAGGCTGAACGAGATTGCAGTGGGAAACAACAACAACTTGTGGGGTAGCGTCTCGGAAGGCTTGGAGAAAGTGGGGAGAGGAAGCGGAGATAGGAGTTGGTCAGAGGGTTGGAGACTGAATTTGGTATCCCATTAACGGCTTTCGGAGAGAGTGTAACTGGACTTGCTATAAATCTACCTGCCGTCACCAGGGCAGACTACAAGCCCAAAAAACCCAGTAAGGACAAGGCTCGAGTTTTAGAGCTTTCACCCCACCCCCTCTTCTATCACTTGCGAGCATCACTTTTTTTTATATAACAATTCCTCCGCACACTGAGCTTTAAAGACATGTTCGAGACACATGTAGGAGGCTGCAGCCATCTGCTCTGCACTTCCTCGCTGACTCACTCAGCGCAACACATACTATCTCTCACACTGTTGAGTGGGTCTAATCCTTCGAGTGTCAAAATCCTAGTGCTGATCTTAAAATCCCTCTATGCCCTTGCCCCCAACTTTACCTCTGCCATCTCCTCCATCCCCGTTCTCTCTCACTCTCTCTCACACACACATACCACTTACACTCAGGCTACTTATCCCTCACCTGCTTCCATTCCATCATCAGCGGTCGAGCATCCAGCTGCTACACCCCTGCTCTCTGAAACTCCCATCCAAGTTCTCACCAACTCAAAATCCTACGACCATGCTTTCAGTCACCTTTCCCCAATCTGCCCTTGTCTTCCCATTTAACACTGTGATCCGCACTTTCCCTTTAAGCTCTTCAATGCACTATCCCAATAAGGTGCAGTTAAATGAAAAGTTTTTCTAATTGATGTTGCATTCCCCCTCACCTCTCCAATTGGGACCAAGAAACAACAACAATTTGCATTTATATAGCCCCCTTCAGGCGAGCAGTGCCTCAGACCATTTAAGGAGCGTTTAAAAAACACACTGAACTTGTAATTCTGAGGAACAGAGTTGGGAGTTTTCCCCACGAGTAGAGGGAATCAACTACCCAGCCAGCACCATCTTTGATTTTAAGACAACTCAATCTTGCGGGAGTCAGGAGATATTTCAGGAGTCGCTGTCAAGCTTCACACATGACCACTGTTCACTTGATGAGGTTACAGATGAATTTCATCATCTATGGCGATTCATCTCTCTCCCTCCCTCTCTCGCTCCCCTGCCCCACATTCAAAAAGTGTAAGAAAGGGCAGAGTTTATTGTAACAAAGCTTGGTTGTACTATTTTATGTTTTGGTCACAAAATATACAGTAAATTCACTTTACAGTATATTCTGTGAAGTGCTTGAGACACCTCTAAGACGGAATAAAGCGCTATATCAAATGCAAAGATTATTATTATCATTATTATTGTTATTACTATGATGTGCAATTTCCCCTTTTCTCCACTGAAGGGTTAATATCTACTCTCTGATCAGTCCGGGTGAAGAGAAGGGTCATAAAGTGCTGAGAATTCAGAAAGGGTTTAACCGTTGCTTTCCCGTTCATAGTCATAGGATTAACCCTGACAAAATCACAACTAGGGACAGAAAGGGAGACAGAGAATGAGATGGAGAGAGAGAGTGAATGAAAGAGAAAGCCAACAGCTATAGCTCACTGACTTATTTGTACAAATAAAAGAGCCTCATGTCAGCCCCTCAGAGAAACCTTGGGTCAATTTTCATTATAATTCTGTTTGAAACTAGACATCATCTCTGGGAGATAGTTATTTAATAATAATAATCCTTACATATACAACAACAACAAAATTACATTTGTAAAGCGCCTTTCACTTTGGGAGGACGTCCCAAGGCGCTGAACAGACAGAATTTTGTACCCGAGCTGGTGGTCGGGATCGTGGAGGGTGGGTGGGGCGGGGGGGAAGCAGGAAGATGGAAAGCGCGATCAAAAAGGAGGATCTTGAGATAGGTCTTGAAGGTGGAAAGGGAGGGGGCGAGGGATGGAGGATGGCGTTCCAGAGGATGGGGGCAGAGTGGCAGAAGGCCCACCCGCCAATAGTGGGGCGAGCGAAGTGGGGGACGAGTAAGATGGTAGGGGCTTAGGAGGTCGCAGAGGTAGGGGGGAGCAAGACCGTGGAGAACTTGCTTGGAAGGCGAGGACCAGGATCTTGAACTTAATCCTCTGTGGGATGGAAAGCCAGTGGAGTCGGGCGAGGATAGGGGTGATAGGGTCATGGAGCCTGGTGCGTGAGAAGACCCGGGCTGCAGAGTTCTGGATGATCTGCAGCCTATGGAGGGAGGAGTTGGGGAGGCCGACAAGCAATGAGTTTGCATAGTCGAGCCTCGATGTAATGACAATATACACACTTTGACTGTGTATTTTACTCGCCCCCTCCCACCACCAACACTCCCTCCACACCCACTACCACCACCCCCATCCTACCCCCATCCGTCCAGCGTCAGCTCAAGTGCAGGTGTTAAATTGTACCATTTCCTTTGCACTGTTCACTCAAATAACTTACTCAGCTTTTCCCCTCAGCACTCCCACTAGGACTAAGTGTGATTCAGTGACCTGTTCTGATATGAACAAGTGCTGTGTCACAGCAGACCAGGAGAGACTATCTCTCCCCACCACCCACCTCATTTATTTTACGTTCTGGAGGCGAGGCAACTGCTACGTGAAGTATGTTACATCATTTCACCCCCCCACCCCCCACACCCCCGCCTACACCCACCCCTCCCCCACAAAAAAAGTACAGAACTGACCAGGTGAGTTTAGGAAATGTGACCTCCTAACCCTATCGCGAATCGAAAAAAAACATTCCTCTATGACCAGCGGAACGGCAGACAGCCCCTGAAATAGCGGACACATATCCAGTTATTCACCCGCTTCCCAAACATCTCGGATGAAAAAGCTTGAAGGGTTCCCAAGGCCAACAAAATACCCGAGATCTAAAGAAGACATCTTTGCTGCCATGCGCCAAATCTGCAATTGTCATTCCATCTACCTGCAAAAAATTCATCAAAATAATAATCCTTGAATTTGATACAATTCACTCAAAGCGCTTCACAGGATACACTGTAAAGTGGATTGACTGTGTATCTTGTGGGCGAAACACAGCAGCCAATTGCCCACTGCAGTGTCCCACAAACGGTCGTGGATTGAATGATCAAATTACTATTTTTTACATTTTATTTTGTTACTGGGAAACCAGACTGGTCTGCGATAGTAGCTTCCCCCCTCCCCCGGCCCCCACGTGGGGTGCGGAGGTCCTGGGGTGCGTTGTTAACCCTGTGAGCCAAATCCCTAATGGGGCGGATAATCCTAGCTGGACAAGCACCAGACCGGACAAGGGTCACAAATCGTTTACTCATAGAATGTTTATACCGGGGAAGAGGTCACCAAATAATGTGGTTTCTCTTGATTCTAACACCCGGCTTGGGTGCAAACCCTTAACTATCCAGTGCCTTGGGACGTCCACCCGATGTAAAAGATATGTAACAAGATATGTGTATTGGACCCTGTGAGTTTGGCCTGCAGAATAGTCATTGCAAAGGAAATTATATATATCTATATATATTTAATTTCCTTCCTCTCACTTAGGTGGTGACCCACCCCACGTGGGGGCCGGGGGAGGGGGGAAGTTACAGGCACCAACCATCCTCTAGTACATGGCCAGTACGAGACGGTGCAAGATGATGGGAGTCTTGTAGCATAGTGATTAGAGCACTCGCTTTGGAAGCGAGAGGACCTGGGTTCGATTCCCAAACGGGGCGAAACCTCAGGCGAGTTTCCTTACTCCACACGCCTCTGTTCACATTACAGTAAGTAAGGAACTTGGTCGATTGGCGGATCACTTTCCGGGGGTAATAATTCCAATAATAATAATAATAATTTGGTCACTCAATCCATGACTGTTTATGGTCCACTGCTGTGCCCACAAAATACACAGTCAATCCACTTTACAATACATTCTGTGAAGCGCTTTGAGATGTCTCAACGACGTGATAAAGTGCTATTATTATAATTATCTTCTTGCATGAGCCTTGACGGTGAGCGAAGGCAGGATATTCGACCGTGCCAGGCTTCAAAACTGGGCCCGGAGCTGGTCCAAGTGTAATGTCCACTTCGTCGCTTGGAGACGGGGGAAGTCTTTGGATAAAGCATGTGGGGTTAAAATCCAGTTCAGATTCCCCCCACCCCACCCGGGGCAACTGGTGTGTCCGCAGTGCTACTCTGGCTGAGATCAGCGCTGAGCAAGGAAGAGGACCTCGGAAGCTCTTCAAACCGACCCAATCAGCTATTATCCAGACAGGAGGCACAGAAGCAATTGGATATTGTATTTTTGTTTTTAAAACAAAATGAAATAAATAACAAGGGATTGTTGAGCAGAGCATTGGTGCGGAAACTCGTACGCGTTGAAAGGGCCATTTCAACTCATAAAAGTTTCAGAGCAAAACTGAGAAAAGAAACAAATCAGAGAGAAAACAGACAAAACAAAATATCAACAGAAAATAATAATAATAATAATAATAATAATAACACTGAAAGGGATTTGGCTGCAGTTCCTTATTGGATATGTTTGGTGCCTCTCAGTTCATTCTGTGCCCATGAATTTACAAACATATCCATCGACACATAAACACACAGTGTCCACACATTTGCAATCGATCCCAACCGCTCGGATACATTGTCGTTTGGGGGTAAACATCGTCTCATGTCATGTGTAGCGATCGCAAGAGGTTTAACTATCTATAAATATGAATGCACACAGTCAATTGCTGCACTCGAACGCGATTTTTTTCTGGGTGTTCAGGAGGGTCACTCACCTGATGTGGTGGGAAATTAATGTCGATCCGAGCACAGCTCCCGGACAATCTCAATTAGGAAACTTCAACGCCAATCCAGCGGCGAGATGGAGAAAACAGACTTTTTAATATATATATATATATGATATATATGTGTGTATATATATATATATATATATATATGTGTCACCGGATTGAAAATAAAACGTTCTCCTTTCAAATGGACCGCCTCATCGCCGGGGGTACATGCGATAGATGTGTCCGCACAGATCAGATCGCCAACATATAGTGGGGAGGAGGGGGGGGGGGGGGAGAGGAGATGAGAAGGGGAGTGAGGAGGAGGAGGAGGGGGGGGGGGGAGGGGGGAGTGAAGAGTGAAGAGTGAAGAGTGAGAGGGCGATCCTCTCTCTCCTCTCTCTCTCTCTCTCTCTTCTCTCTCTCTCTCTCGTTTGCTATCAACACAAATAACTGACAGCCCCCGTCAATCGCGGCGATGGAAGGCACTCACTCCCTCACCCCCCTCCCTCCCTCCCTCCCTCCCTCCCTCACTCACTCCCTCACTCACTCACTCAAGCCCGACTGCTGACATCTTTGCGCGATGGCTCATTCGGGATGTGATGTGTGTGTGTGTGGGGTGCGGGGTGTGTGTGTGTGGGGGGGGGGTGTGGGGGGTCGGTGGTGGGGGGGGGATCACGGAGGGCACTGACTGGGGGTGAGGAGCTCCCGCGGTCGCTGCGCCACAGGAGTTCGCAGCTGATGATACATCTCGTGTTTGTTACAAACTTCCTTCAGGTTCCAGCCGCCGGGGGCCCGCCCCGTCCGCCCGCTCCCATTGGTCGGCCGGCGCTCCGGAATTTGCATACCGACCCGCCCCCCGCGCCCCCATTGGCCGCCGGGCTTCCGGCACCCGCGCCCGGCGACTCCCATTGGCCCGGCGCGTCACCAGCCCGGTCGCGATTGGCCGACGCGCCCGTCCGTCCGCCAGGGCCGCCCTGTCAATCACCCGTCCAACAACAGGGAGCAAAATGCACAGTGTTCTGTATCCGCACAGTATCCGAATGGGGTTTTCTCCCTCTTTTCCGTAATGGGAATCCCCAATGCTTTCCTCTCTGGGGCTCCTTTCCAACCCTCTTCCACCCCCACCCCCCTGCACCCCCCACCCACCCCCCCCTGCACCCCCCACCCCCCCCCTGCACCCCCCCCCCCCCCCCCCCCCCCCCTGCACCCCCCACCCACCCCCCTGCACCCCCCACCCACCCCCCTGCACCCCCACCCACCCCCCTGCACCCCCCACCCACCCACCCCCCTGCACCCCCCACCCACCCCCTTGCACCCCCCCCACTCGACCCTGGCGTATGCCCCAGGCAATCCGAGGCAGAAAAATAATAATATTTTTTTGGGGGTGTGGGGGGGGTGTGGGGAGGGGTAGAAATGTGCCAAACAAACAAACGCAATTGCTCCTGATACTGTCACCGACTCCGGCCTCAGGGGCCGTCTCTGCTGTTTATTTCGGGCACAGGGTCCAACCGCCTTTTGGGAAGTGTTGACTCCGAAAACAGCGCATTTTGGAGACGTTCCCTTCACCGCTACACATTAAACTTTCAACTCTTCCATCAGCGCCACTTGAAACTCCTTAAGGATTTTTTTTCCCCCCAAACCTGTGCTTGAAAATGTATGATATAATTTTTTTTGGGGGGGGGAGGGGGAGGGCTTCAAGATATGGTTTGGGGCAGGAATGTTACAGAGGTAGTGTCACTTTAAAGAGGTTATTTTGGGGCTGATGTGAGCCTCATCTACATTTTATATTAAAAAAGTTTTACCCCAAAGCACTGAATACCTTTTTTTTTATTTTGCCATCAGTTTTTCGTGCCCTTTTCTTCTTAAGAACACGAGAGGGCCCAAGAACAAGAAAAGGCAATTCATCCATCCAACCTCCTGCCCCAGACAGCAATAACAACAACTTGCATTTATACAGCACCCCTCACCCAGAATAGCATCCCAGTCACACATCACCCCTTCCCCTATGCAATAATGCCCTGAGGAACAAGTTCCGTACATAGTCCCTAAATTGCAATGTATATTTTTTCATTTCCACATTCCCGCTTTGCAAACTTGACCTCTCATCCCTCTCCACTTAAAATTTTAACCCAGTTCTTTCCCATGTTAAATAAAAACATTGCTTATTTCAGTCTGTGCCTCTCTAACACAAGTAGTACTTTCTCAGGTTCTTGGGAATAAAGGATCTCACAAAATCATGGTACCCTTATCACGTTGTCGAGACGTCTCAAAGCGCTTCACGGGATATACTGTAAAATGGATTGACAGTGTATTTTGTGGGCAAAACGCAGCAGCCAGTTGCACACAGCAATGTCCCACAAACAAAAAACATGCCTTGTGCCTTGGACAACCTCGTGAGAGGCAGCGGGGAGAGTGATGGGAAGAGAGGCGGGAGTATGAGGCAGAGCAGAGAGTGATGAGAGGGTAGCACTAATGACCTATCACTCTCCTTGGTTGCAAAACCTGGCTCTGCCACTGTCGCCCAGCAGTGACACACTGTGCTGCCCGGTAACTTGAAGGAAATGTAATGTTCTTTATAGATGTCTTCCTGGTAACACTGTGACTTCAGGAAGTGACAGGTTTCCGAATTGTACGACTGCTTTGTTTTGAAGGCAGGAACTTTCTACAGACTTTTGTTGTTGTCTACTTTTTAAAATCTGTTTCATCCCATTTCCCTCCTCGGGCCACATAAGCCGAGAGAACAGGGATGGGGGAAAGACTGAACTGCACATCATTCCCTGCCCCACCCCAACCACCATAGCTAACATCTTCCTCAACATTCACAGCACTCAGCCCAGAGCCCATACACTAAACACAGAAACATTCAGACTGATTGCTAGGTATGTACAGGCACAATTTGTTATAGTCCTAACAATGACTTGTGTGGAAATGAGAGTGTGGATGCATGTGCGTATGTGTGTGTGAGAGAGAGAGGGTGCGTATGTTGGGTGTCAGATCATAAAACATAATCTACCACAAGCTTCAGGGCAAAACAGAGATACAAGTGTCTGTGTGTGTGAGAGAGAGAGACACACACACACACACACAAAGACGGAGCCAGAGAGAGAGAAAAACAAGATTTTGGGCTCTCTAACTTGTCAATAACTTCACTGACTTTGAGAGACAATCCCATTCTATGTAAATATTTGAGGGTTTTTTTAAATACTTTAGAAGATTTTCCCCCCTGACACCAATGGTGGCTGAGAAGATCGCCACACAAAGCTGAAGGTTGGATGCTCAAATCCTAGTCTGAGCTGAGTTACTGGGACTAAAATCACCTTCAGCGACCCTGGAATAAAGAGAGGAAAATCAGCTAGGGCTCCCTCCCATTCCTGGTCCCAATCCAGAGCATTCAGAGCAACCCTCCCCAAGAGTGTATATGTGCAGGGAAAGGGTTTTACCCCTACCTTCCCTGCCCTCCACCCCTCTTAATCCCAAACCCCAGCTCGGATCCGAAATCCCTGACTGTCCAGCGCCTTGGAACATCCTCCCAACGTGAAAGGCACTATACAAATGTTGTTGTTGTTGACGGAATTTGGGTTTGGGTGTGACTTGTCGCTCTGTACACTGAAAGACCGCAGACCATCTCTCCTCAATTCCAAGAATCTAATATTGAGTTAGCAGAGCAGGAATTGGGAAGCAAAAGCCTCTAATCTAGGGAACACTGCACAAAACTCTCTTTATCAGGCGGAGGGAAGCCTTCCACAGCTATAATGACTTCCTGTTCCAGACACTCACACAGGGAAGCAGTGAGGCCTTCCAGCAGAGAGCACAAGCCCACAAGAGAGGGTTCGGATGAAGAAGGCCAATCGGTTGATTTGATCTCATCCTTCGGGAATCCTTCGCTCCCACCTCCACAACACCCCCCCCCCCCCCCCCCATCTGCATCAGTCTTCCCATGACAGCTTCAAGAATGGCAGAACAGACTGAATGAAGGGCTGAATGGCCTACTCCTGTTCCTGTGACCTACCTAGTTAAACCATTTAAAGTCAGACCAGCACAGTTGTTTCTCAGTCAGCCTAATGTTTAAGCCGGCGTGTGGAGCAGGTGCGTCACAATGGGGGATCGGATGCATTGCTATTCCTGGAAACTGGGTCACGGAATGCTAGAATTTACAGGAGTCACAGAAGGAGGTCTTTCAGCCCATCAAGCCTATGCTGGCACTTTAGTGCCACTGGACAATTCCCAGGCTCAGGATGGCTTGTCCAGGGGGAAGCCAGGTGCTATTCCCACTCCCGGTGTGGTGTTGCTTTATGGAACCACGCAAGCGCCGTGGCTCTAATGGTAAAATCAGTCAAACTGTATCCTTCATCTCAGTGACAACACCCCCAGGTTATAATAATAATAATAATAATAATAACAATAATCCTTGCATTTGATACAGCACCTGATCACGTCGTCGAGACGTCTCAAAGCGCTTCGCAGGATACATTGTGAAGTGCTGTGACTGTGCGTTTTGTTAGGCGAAACAGAATTCTCCTCGCTGTTAAATAACAACTGCTATCAGGCTTCGTAGGCGTTTCCCCGCAATTTCCGCACGAAACACAGCACACGCAACCTCAACGCGAAGTGGGGTACCTGCGGCCGGAGGTCAGTGTGCAGAGCCATACTGCGTATGCAAAGCTGCAGCACAAACAAGTGTTTCGGATCTCACGGGGTTAACTAGCATTCGCCAAGACCTTGCAGAAGAAGCCCCTTCTACACTACTTCTCCTTTCGGTACCGGCTGAATCTTTTTATATCGCAACTGCGGTGTAGCAACGTCTGACAGAAATAGCATTCCTGCCTGAGTGCGGTGCGAACCCAATGTATCTCTTTTGAGGAAAAGACTTATCATCTCAGGCAGCAAATCCCACCCTCGGAAACCATACTCCGGACCCCTGTGAGAGAGAGAGGGGCCTCGGACGCAAGACCACACTCGGATTCCGAGTAGAACTTTGCACTCCAGCGTCGCAAAGGCAGCCAATCTATCTTAGGCATGTGTACAGCCTGCTCCTAATAATAGACTTATCACATTGATCGTTCCCTTATGTAACCGACTGCAGTCTTTGCACTGCACACAACATGTGCACATCTGTACAGATACATTTCTCTGTGAAGGTTTTACGGAATAAACTTGCAAGGTCGGAAGGACTTTGGGAAGTGCAACAACGAAAGAGGCTGAATCCTGGAGGTTGTTTGGGAGGAGGGGGATGTTTATTTACTTTTTTTCTGTTCATTTACTCTATTCCACTATTTATTTTCTGGTTTCCGAAATATAGTATAGAAACCTCAAAACCAGCAGCTGCGTTGGGGAAAGAAGACCCCAACTCGCCCGTCCCACCATCGGTGGTCGAGCCTTCAGCATCTCTGCCCCCACCCTCTGGAACTCCATCCCACAGTCCCTTTGCCTCGTTCCCCCACCTTGCCTCCTTCAAGATCCGTCTCAAGAATCTCCTCTTCGACCGTGCCTTCGGTCACCCTCCTCACCCTACCCTCCACCGCCCTCCACCTCTCCTGATCCCAATCACCAACTCGGGTGCAGATCCTGACTGTCCAGTGTCCTGCTACATCCTCCTGATGTGAAAGGCGCTGTGTAAATGTAATTTGTTGTTGTTGTGAGACTGGAGTCTGATATGGTCGGCAGCCAATAGCCACTGATTACAACAACAACAACTTGCACTTATATAGCGCCCTCCACACAGGGTAGCATCTCAGAGCGCTTAACAGTGGCGGAGCCTGACTCCGAGCTGGGTGGGGGTGGGTGGGGGAAACGGCTGTAAGCACGGTCGAAGAGGAAAGTCTTCAGGCGGGACTTGAAAAAGGGGAGAGGGGGGGCAAGGCAGAGGGATTGAGGGAGAGCGTTCCAGAATTTTGGGACGTAGTGGCTGAAAGCGCGACCTCCGATGGTGGGGCGGACGGTGCAAGAGACGAGAAGGAGGCCGGAGCCAGTCGAACGGAGGCACCGGGTGATGGATTAGGGAGTGAAGAGGTCGGAGAGGGAGGGAGGTGCCAGAGAGTGAAGCGATTTGAACATGAGCGTGAGGATTACATATAAGAACTACAGTGAACTCCTAATAACTCGTCACTCCAATGGAAAGGGTATAAGGAGTGGCGAGCTAGGCATATGTATAAATAAATACATAAATAAATGCAGCCGGGAATGGGCCCCTGTGTCAGAGGAATGAGCTATGATCAGCTGAGCTCTTCAGTCTTGAAAAGTGACGTCTCACTTCTGATCTCTCAGTACCTTCTAGAGGATTGAGAAAATAAACTCCTAACAATACCTCTGGATGCTCCAAGACAGAACAACAACACACCCACACATAGTGGTAAGGTTACAAAGGGCAATTTCAGAACAGGCTCCAGGAAGTATCTCTTTACTCAGAGGATAATTAACGACTGCAACAGGTTACCAGGAAGGGTGGTTGAAGAGACCAGAGCATTGGATTACATTGTGTAAATACAACTTTGATTCAGTCTCTCAGAAACTTTTACTGTCAGATATAAGGGTTCTGCCATCAACATTAGGCCCTAACAGTACAAGAGGTCACAGATTCAACGGTTGCTAAGGGCGGACACTAGGAAGTGTTTTTATATATAAATACACACACAACAGGAATCAGCAGGAGCAGGTTACCAGGAAGGGTGTGGAGGCTGTGGCACTGGGTTTATTTAAGAAACAGCTCAATGTTATAATGAAAGATGTTTGGGTGGGTATTGTGGAGAAAGTCAGCCACCAATCTCGTAATCTTCCCAGCCAGCAGAGAAAAAGAAAAAGGGGATATTCCCTTTGATATAGGAGAATAGGAGAACATTGTCTCTCCTTGAGCTACATCACAGGATCTTTAACAATAATAATCCTTGCATTCGATATAGCGCCTTATCCCATCTTTGAGATGTCTCAACATCCATTGGCAAGTAGAACCTCAATGTAATATCTCACCTGAAGTTCAGCACCTCTGACAATGCTGCAATGGAGTGTCTTGTAGCCTCGCCCATGTGCTCAGAGTCCTGACTTTAACCTGTTGACTTAGAGGCGAGAGCACGAGCAACTGAGCCAAACTAACACCAAGACTCTTATTAGTTCCGAGCTGAATTTGAACCCACTTTTCCCAAAGACCACAGGATGGGTTCCCAATACACTACAGACCACACGGCCCCTAGCGTACACACATACAACTGCCTCTAGGCAAAGTTGGGAGGTCACGGGAGAGGCTGGAACCGTTTGCCCAGCTGTCGGAAGAGACGGTAGCCTGGGGGGTAGAAGAGCTGTGATCCGCAGTTCCACACCTCTCTCTGGGGCTGGAAACCAGAGGCCTGGGGTCTCGGCTAGTTCTGCTTTTTCTCGTTTCTTTGACAGGGAGAAGTTAAAACCTGTTCGGCCAAAAATAAACCATGTGGTTTTTCTGTTGCAAAAGGACAGGTCTGATTGAAGACTAGCGATGCTGTGTCTCACCAGGGGCATCTGTCCCCTGTGGATCCATTGCTTACACAGGATCAGGAGGTGACCATTGGTCCCATCCAGCCTATTCCACCAGTTTACTGGACCACGGCAGATCCTTTAATCCCATGTTCCCAACTTTTCTCCTTACCCTCACTTCCCAAGTTTTCTATCAAACTCCATTTTAAGCATCTGACATCCATTCTGCCTCTTCACCCTTCTGAAGCAATGCACTCCACATCTTCCAACTCCTCTGAGTAAAGATCTGCTTTCTGATCTCATTTTCAATGGTTCAGCTCTAACTTTGAGGTTATGCTCCCCTGACTTGGATCCCTCTAGCAGAAGAGTCTCCCACTATCTACCTTGACAATACTGTACAATAATCCTTGCATTTGATACAGTACAATACCACAATGAAACATCTCCAAACAGGATTCACCATCACTATCCACTTCCAATCACCTTCTTAACACAATGAAGCACATTGACAACTGCAATTAATATCTCTCTCTTTCGCTCTCTCTCTCTCTCTCGCTCTCTCTTAGGTCAGAAAGAGGGTCACGGGTTCAAGTTCTGGAAGTCTGGAGCCCTTTTGTCTGTAATTGCAGGAAGCTCTTTGTGTTTTCTTGGTGACCTGCTCCCTCTTGCGGTACTTAATGGTATTCCAACATTGACCACTTAACCAGGTTGATGAGTTTTAACCTTGATACAACATTGATTTAATCCTATCATTTGGATAAGACATTAAACTGAGGCCCCGAGTGCCCGTTTAGGTGGATGTTGAAGAACCCGTGGCACTATTCGAAAACGGAAGGCGTCTTTCTCCCGGTGTCCTGGTCAACAATCCCCCAAGTAAAATTGGTCACTTACTCCATGGCTGTTTTGGGGGCATTGCCCACAAAATACACAGTCAAAACCCCTTTACCCTATATTCCTGTGAAGCGCTTTGAGATGTCTCAATGTCATGGTAAGACGTTATATCAAATGCAAAGATTATTATTATTATTATTAATGGACTTCAAAGACCCAGAATCTTAATTTACTACTGGCTGAATTGGCATCTCTTCTCCACCAGGTGGGGAAACAGCTGCTACTCTTAAAAGATGTCCACTGTCCCATATCAAGGTTATTACTGTCCCAAGCAATGGAGTCTCTGAATAGCACACACAGGAGCTAGGATTCTCTCCCATTTTGCTCTTTGTGTAACTGAAGCCCTGACCTTGGCTGAGATCAATAACTCATACAAGACGTGGAACTGTGATCTCTGGTCTGTTTGGCTGAGTGACGCTGAATTGAAATATATAAAACATTTGTAAGTAAGAATGATACTTGCACTTGATACAGAGTCTTTAACTGTCAAAGCTTCTCAAAAGTGGAGTGACTCTAGTTGTTATGCCAAAAATGCAGCAGCCAAATTGAACACAAAAAGCCATAGTGATTGATCATCGCAACTAGGAGGGATTGTCGGACAGGACACTGGGAGAAACTCCCACCTCTTTTCAAATAAGTGTCATGGGACCTTTAATATTTGCCTGAACAGGCAGTAGCGAGCTCGTCTTAATGTCTGTAATAATGATCCTTGTATTTGATATAGTCCCATTCACACATCTGCATTGGTGGAAATCCGGTGTTGTTTTTAACTGATGGGAAACGACAGTGGTTGAGAGCAAACTAATTGCCTCCAACTCACCTTGAAAGCGCTGCATTGTGTTGTCCCAATTTGCTCCTGAAAGGGTTAATTATATTTCTCCCTCGATTTGGGATTAACTTCCGCAGTGAGTGAGTCACACTAATCCCCGTCACTATGGAAACGCTGGGAAATTTAAAGGATGGGATCGTGACTGCAAAGAAACCCATATGTGGGTCACTGCATACAACCGACTGGAAGCAAGGGGGGAGCTTTACATATGATCGGGAGATTTTAAAACAGACCAAAAATCTCAGATTTGAATTTCACATTTTTTGTATTTAAATTATCCTTCAATTGGAAGCAACGTGTCCTGCGCCTTTTCTTTATTAACACAAAGATAATAATCCTTGTTGAGACGTCTCAAAGAGCTTCACAGGATTTTACTGTGAGGTGCAGCTGACTGTGTATTTGTAGACAACTGCGGCAGCTAATTTGCTAATATCCCATAAACAGACATGAAATGAGTGACCAATTCTATCTGTGGGATTGTCGGTCAGGACACCGGGAGAGAGAATCTCCCTTCTCTTTTTGAGCAGTGCCAAGGAATCCTTAACGTCCACCTGAACAGGCAGACAGGAGCTCGGTTTAACATCTCACGTGAAGGACGGCACCCCCGACAGTGTGGCGCACGGCTACTCGGGAAGGAAAAATACAATGAAAACCAACACATCACCAATTTTCTGTCTTGACTGCATTTATTACTGCGAGTAAAAGTAACAGGAAGCTAGAGTCAAATCAGATACATCAGCACCCAGGAGAGAGAGAGAGAAATGCATCTGCTGAGCAAGTAAGGCCTCTCTCTGAGGCTAACAACAGTGATTGTTCTGAAAACTGTACCACAGCACCTTGTTTATAAGCTTCTGTCTCATCCAATCTCAGCTGCGACAGCAACTGGCCATCAAGGCCCCTGAGCTGGCGAATGGGGGCAATTAGGCTGAATTCCCGCTTTACCCGTCCGGAAGATGTGTGTACCGCACGCGCGCGCGCGTGTGTGTGTGTGTGTGTGTGTGTGTGTGCGTGCATGTGAAAACATTAAGTATGTACATCCTCCAACTACACAGGGTGACATACACCAGCGCAACATTCATTTTAATGAGAGAAACGACTATTAAAAAGGGGTGTTTGGTGCGCGACCAGGGTTGCTTGTAGATGTGGGAGGTCAGGGTCAGGGAAGCGATTTGAAGAGCTCTTATCCTTTTCGAGAGGCGTGTTGTCTCGAGAAAAATAAAAACTTTTTCAGACGTCAAACACGGCAGCCCTGTGTGTAACCCAGGGGATGCTGAGGCCAACCTTCAGGAGGGTGCTGAGCTTGAGGAGCTTATCACATCAGAATCTCTTTGTTCATGTCGTGGGACACGTCTGTGGTTCACTGGATGCACCACCCAACACTGAGGAAGCATTAAAAAAAAGATATTGGTTCAGCTAGTAACCCAAATGGGTAAGACTATATCTTCCCGGCCTTAACCGCCATCCCACTTCACCTCTGTGATCCGCTCGCCTTACTCCACCACATCCTCCTCCACCTCCCACCAACCTGTTTCTTATCTACCGCCATCACCTCCCCCCCACCTCCCACCCCACAAACCATCAATGCATGAGCATTGCAGTCACTTTGCCCCCAATCTGGACCTCCCTCCCTCTCTCTACGTGCCTATGCTTCGATCCCTTGCCGAGGCCCTTCCCTCCCTCTCTCCCTCCCTCCATATCTCCCACCCAGACTCTAGAAAGCACTTTGAGACATTCTCGGACACGAAAGCACAAGTTGTCTTGACTTTCTTTGTGTAATCAGAAGATGAAGCAGTAACCCTGTGATGCCACCGGGTGACAGCACAACTGCACACAGTATTCCAGGTCCAAATACTGTACAGATGGTGAAAGAACCTGGAACCTCCCATTTCCTCCCATCTCAGTCGGGCTCTCAGGTGTAGATGCCAGGTGTTGGGATGAAGAGGAAAGGAAATAAAACCGCTTTCCTGTTGCTCACCTGGTCTCTGTAGACAGGGGCCGATGCCCTCTTTAGCCCCTCACTTAGGGCGTTCCTTTTGCATCACTTCCTGCGGCAGAGATAAAATTCCGGAGTAACCAGAAAGTTACGTTTGTACAGGGAGACCAAACTCCCCGACAATGACAAGGTTTAAATTTTCTCCTCTGTATCATCACTTACCCACCCCCCACCTGTGCCTTCCTCCCCACTCCCACCACCCACCCACCAACCCACCTACCACCTGCCCAACACTCAACGATTCTCACAACAGAAAGTGATGCAGAAGAATATTCTAAAGGATGGAGGAAAGGGAAGAGGGAATGGGCCTTAAATTGGGGGGAGAGAGAAGAGGTCAACACGGATTGTACACAAACACAGAAAGGTCTGTGATCTGCTGGGTAGCAGTGTTGTGGGAGCTTTACATTATGATCTTTCTACTTTCCTCCCATTTTGGCCAAGGAACATTCTCTTCCAAACATACTGGTGATTGTGTTCTGACATCCCCTCCCTCTCCCCGCTCCCCATCCGTTTCCAATTGCCTTTTATCATCATCATTCATTTCCTCCAATATGGAGGCTCCAAGAGTGTGCATTGTGGAACAATGTCTCTCTCTCTCTCTGTCCCTGTGATTGATGATTGATTTGAGGTTTAGGGCAGGTCAGAGAGAGAGAGAGTTCCATCAACTACCCCAAAACCCACCAAATCCACTCCCTCCCCCAGTGATTATAGTTTTGCCAGTGAACAGACCCAGAGCGACATGGGACCAAGAAAGACGCAACACACATTGCCCTGATTCGCATTACTGTTCATTTGTCAACATTTAACTGTGTTGATGGCCATTAATGTAGACCTCAAAAGCCAGCGGCTCAAATTCGAACTTTCCCCGCCAACTCTCCCCTCAGCCGCCCACTTGACTTGAGCATCACTAACCTGGAATGAAAGGGGCATGCCCTTGTGTCTGCACTCGGGAAGAAGAGGAGAAGGAGGAGGAGGAGGAGGAAGGATCAGGAGGAGCCTGTGTAACAATGGAACTGTAACAGACACTCACGTCACTGAGCTGCATGCAGCGAAGGCAACAGAAATCAAACAAAGGAGAAGCGTGGGGTGGGGGGGGATGTGAGTACTGAGTGGGGGAATTGGCACAACGAACGGCTAGAGGCATGGGAGTGTCACAATGAGCCAAAACCTGAGGCAAGTTTCCTTATTTCCCACCCCTCTGTTTTACCCAGCAGTAAGTAGGAACCCCGGTTGTTAGTCCATTGGCATATTGCTTTTCCAGGTGTAATAATCCCTTCAAAAAAAAATATAATAATTTGGTCACCAAATCCATGACTGTTTCTGGGACACCGCAGTGCACAATTGACTGCCATGTTTCGCCCACAAATACACAGTCACTCCACTTTACAGTGTATCGTGTGAGGCGCTTTGAGACGTCTCAACAGCGTGATAAGGCGCTGTATCAAATGCAAGGATTGTTATTATTTATAGTGAATCAAAGGGACAAGGGGAAAAGACAAGAAATGGGATTAGGAGGGTAACAAATTGCCGTGAAGTGTAAATTAGCAGAACGAGCTCACGGCTGAGTTTGGTTCTTAAGGTTTGGATAGTCATTGCTGGAGCTCAAGTAGGGCAGTATTTGACCACAGTAATCCTGTGTAACTAACCCATGGTGGAGCTAACCTGGAGATGCTTTCCTCTGTAACTAAGCCGGGGTGTAGCTGACTGGGGAGAACTGGTAGTGACAGAGTCAGGTGGATCAGGTGGAATGCACACTCAGTACTCACAGGGGTATAAACTGCACCAGCAAGTATAAAACAGAAAAATATAAACACACACAAATTAACTAGCGCCCCTCAGGGGCTCATCAAATGCAGCAACTCCAAGCCGCCAGCTGGTTTACCCCCCACCCCTATCCGCTCCCCAAATTCATCCCCTTTCCCTCTGTACTGGCTCAAACTGTGGGGGAAGCGGGGAGGGGTTTTCCATAGACGCCCTCTTGTATCTCAAGCACAAGTGGCCAATGTTCATGTGAGAGCCTCAACAGAAAGGATTGGAGAGGTTCACACACACGTATCTTTGGCCAGGGCTGGGGGTAAAAAAACGGTGTGTGGTGGCGGGGTCGTCCCAAACTCAGTCCAGCCTCCCTCTCCCCCCCCCCGCCCCACCACACCACCCCGTGCTGCTGTGTTTAATGATCTGCCCCCTCATGAGATGACAAGCGCAATGATGATAAAGCAGGGGAGAGGGTGATTGACATGGGGTGCCTAGGGGAGGGCGAAAGGGGAGGGGGGAAAAGGGAGGGAGGGAGAGGGGTGACACTTTGTGGTGGGTCCGTTACCTGCGGCCCTGCAATGAGGACAGCTGCTCCTTGATGCTGATTGTTTGTCTCAGGAGACCCTCAATGCTTCTGAAGTGGACACCGCTGTTGGACATTCCCTTGACCGCACTCCGGAGGGAGAGAGAGAGAGAGAAAGAGGAGGAATTAACCCTTTGACAATCACCGTTGCACTCTGAGCTGGGTGGGGGGGGGGGCGGAATGGGGGAGAGTGTGGGGAGAGGAAAGAGAGGGTACAATTAGAAATAAAAACTGTGTGCTCTCACCTGCAGGCATACTCCACTGTGTAGATAGCTCCCTGACCTTGTTCCTCCACCTCCTGCATGTCTGTCTGTGCAGAGGAGAAAGAAACCAGGGATCAGTCAGTCACAGCTGGCTCCACACCCAATTCAGCGGCGGTTTTATTTCACTGACGGTAAGTGTGCGCGTTCCCCTACCTCACCAATTTATCCTCAATGCCCTTGAGTCTCAACCCCATTACTTCCCCTGAGTGTGAGCAATAGATTTGCCCATGGGGTTGGGGGAAGTGGGGGGAAATGAGGGAAGGGGAGGGGAGTGAGGAGGGAAGGCAATACAGAAGCGACCAATCCCATCAAACCCCCCACAAGAAACATAGGAACAGGAGGAGGCCATTCAGCCCCTCAAGCCGTTCCGCCATTCTATCAGATCATGGCTAATCTGTAACTCAACTCCAACTACCCGCCTTTGCCTCATGTCCCTTATCCATATCCCACCCAACACCTGCCCCCCCCCACCACCCACCCACCCACCCAACCCCTCTGACCTTGTGTTGCACCAGCTCGGGGAGCGAGCGGCGCACGTGCTCCTGTAGCCTGTAGAGGGCGACAGAGGGCTCGTTGGCGAGGAAGTACAGGCTCTCCATGAAGCGGTCTGTAACTGGAGCCAATAGGAAAGGCAGGAGTTCACGACGACGACGACAACAACAACGACGACGACGACAGCGACGACAACAACTTGCGCCACATTATTTATATAGCGCCCCGTGAAGCGTAGTGACTGTGTGGTAATACTCGTGGGGGGTCGTGGGGTGGGAAAGAGGCAACGAGCGGTTCACAAACAAACAAGTTTTTTTTAAACGATCTTTCACAACAACAACAACAACAACAAAATCGCGTTTGTACGGCGCCTTTCACGTCAGGAGGACGTCCCAAGGCACTGGGCAGACAGAGTTACGGACCCGAGCTGAGGGTCGGGGTGAAGGAGGGCGGACGGTGGGGGGGGGGGAAGCAGGGAGATCGAAAGCACGGTCGAAGAGGAGGGTCTTGAGGTGGGTCTTGGAAGGTGGTGAGGGAGGGAGGGGGCGAGACAGAGGGACCGCAGGATGGAGTTCCAGAGGGCGGAAGGCCCGCTTGATTTTAGTGCAATCAAGGAAAAAAAAATAGCTCCAATTTAACTGGAAGTTTTACTGCCCACCCCCCTCCCTCATCATCTTCTCCTCTCTTCCCCTCCACGCCCCCACCCCCACAACCCCCACCACACCCATACACACTATTAACATCCCACCTACAGCCCATTGAATGTACAGCATTTGCTGGAGTCCTATCTGGACAGGATCTACCATATACACACACAAAAAATGCATTTAGAAACACGGATACAAGATCGCACCTTCCAAAAATCGCAACTGACTGAAAGGGAAGGGGAGTGGTGGTGGGGGGGGGAGAGGGGGAGTGGTGGTGGGGGGGGAGAGGGGAGTGGTGGTGGGGGGGAGAGGGGGAGTGGTGGTGGGGGGGGGGGAGAGGGGGAGTGGTGGTGGGGGGGAGAGGGGGAGTGGTGGTGGGGGGGGAGAGGGGGAGTGGTGGTGGGGGGGGAGAGGGGGAGTGGTGGTGGGGGGGGGGAGAGGGGGAGTGGTGGTGGGGGGGGGAGAGGGGGAGTGGTGGTGTGGGGGAGAGGGGGAGTGGTGGTGGGGGGGGGAGAGGGAGTGGTGGTGGGAGGGGGGGAGAGGGGGAGTGGTGGTGGAGAGGGGGGAGAGGGGGGAGAGGGAGAGTTGGGATTCACAATGAAACGTACAATTTCCCTGGGAATTAAATAAAAAGACAAGAGAACTCAGTAGAGGGAAGTCGAGCTCTGTGCCACAAATGCAGCGCTAAAGCTTGTGCGGATTGCATTTAAACCGAGACAACTGCAGCTCTCTCTCTGCTCTCTCTGCTCTCTCTCTGCATGGGTCTCAGACAGCTCGCATTCCGAATTAAGGCACAAAGTAGGAGGCCAGTTGCCTGGCTGGAGGAGCTCTCTACCCAATGCCCTGCCCTTCCTGCACTTATCCCAATACTATTCCCTTTCACATTCTCTGCTGTGGTCTCACCCTTCTTCACTTTGAGTTGCATTTCCTGATCTTCCATCTCTAGACTCCAGACACACACCACACACACACACACACAAGTTGGGAGCCAGAGGAGCTCAGCTTTGCTACCAGGAAGTACACTCCTATCACCTTCCCCTTCAGCTGTCCAGGGCAAGTTTACTCCCCTATCTGTCACTCAGACAATAACACATTGCTTGCCCGCAAAAGGCATCTTCCCCCGTTTTTCCAGTCCCCTTCTCTTACACGATCAGATAAGTGTTTTTTTTAAAAAAAAAGATAATTAAGGGGTTTGAGAGGGTAAATTATGAACTATGTATTTCTGTTGATCTCAGGATATAAGGGCATGGATTTTAAGATTATAACCAGGAGTGTGGGGGTGGGGGAGGGAAGGAATTCTTACAGAGGTTTAGCAGAATATGGAATGAGTTGCCAAGGGGTAGCTTCTGAGACAGGGTCAACTGGGGGCCATTTCAAAGGGAATTAAATAAAATAATAATCCTTGCATTTGATATAGCGCCTTAGCAAGTCGTTGAGATATCTCAAAGCGTTTCACAGAATATATTGGAAAGTGGATTGACCGTATTTGTGGTCAAAACGTGGCAGCCAATTGCGAACAGCAGCGTTCCACAAAGTAGGGGATTGAGGGATTACTACCTCCGGAGAACAATCCGCCAATCGACTAAAGCAACTGCAATCCTACTTACTGCAAGGTAAACAGAGGCGTGTGGAGCAAGAAAACTTGCCTGAGGTTTCGCCCTGCACGGTAATCGAACCCGAGACCTCACTGTTTGGCTTGAAAATAAATTCACTGTGTTCAACAATGAAATTGGGTGAATGAAAATGAAAGAGTCATTATCCACCAATTTCCTGGTGAAGATTCCATCTCCTTCCCACCCTAGACTAGGGATACCGAACTCAGCTATTCCGAGGCAGCCAAGGAGAATGACCAATAGCCAGGACACCAGGAGAAACTGCTTCCTGAATAGTGTCACCGGATCTTCAACATCCACTGAACAGTACGATGGGACCTCGGTTTAACATCTCATATAAAAAAAATGGAGGGTATTTAGATTAGAGTGGACAGTTGCAGAGGGAATCTGGGTTTTAAACCTTCTTTGATTCCACGCACAAAACTACCATCACGTTATTTGGTGGCTACAGAACGCAAGAGATCAAAACAGCAACCCGCCAGCAGTTTTTGGTGATTGACGGCCTTTGCAATCCGTCTGAAAGAGACACGTTCACAGCACTGCAGGAATCTGTCTGCTCTTTTATCAGTGACAAGGAAAAGGCTGGGGCTGAAAGGTGGTCAGCTCTGTGCAGCGACACCAACCCACGATCAATGGCGTTTTCTCAGGACGGTTTGGGAACAATGTCTTCCAATCTGTTTCTTGAGTCAAAGACTCACATCATTTCTGCCCGGGTTTATTTGAAGGGAAAGATAAATAGAGGAGTCAGTCAATTTGCCGCATTCCTAAACGCAATCCATTCCTTAATTAACCACCACTGATAAGGAAAGGAACGCTGAAACTTTGACCTCATATTTGTGGGGTTATAATATCAAAGCTCTGTCTTTGTCAATTTGTACAAACATCCATATGAACTCACCCCAGTGGCTCAGCTGGTGTAGAACCAGACTAAGTCACACAGCCCTGGAAGGTTGCAGTTTCCATTGGGACTTCAACCTCAGTCCAGTACTCAGGTTGCATTGTTGATGGTACTAATCTTCGGGAGACATGAAATCGAGGTCCTAATTGGCAGGTGTTAAACTCCATGAAACAATTTCTAAAGAGAAAGGAGCTTATCAAGAATCCTCCCAAGATAAATTGGTCATTTGGGTGAATCTTATGCTCAAACTGGCTGTCACATCTCTTTATATAAACAGTCACTACTTTGCAAGAATTATTATTATCCATGGTCCATGAAACACACAGCACTCAAGTTGATGTTTTTTTTTGGACAGATTTATTCACCGAGTCAAATTCTCTGCACTTGGATTCTCTTAGAAAGATACTGCAGTCTTTCCTCCACAAGGAAGAATTAATGGACTAGGTGTGTCTTGGCTCTTTCCCAGCAGCACTATGATTTGACTGATGCTTACCTTGTCTTTCTCTAATGGCACATGGCAAGCTGGAGGGTATTAATTTGGGATAGCAACACTCTGGAAAGTCATTCACCGCTGTACACAGCAAGGATAATAAAGGTCACCAACCAGCCAGCCAGCCAAAAACTTCTAGCATTGCTTCAGTGCTCTTCCAATGTCCTTACTCTTTTGTTTTTGTCAGCTTTCTCTCCCTCTACTGTAAGGAACAATTCCACAGGTGCCCTCTGGTATCTTGCCCAAGTTATATTTAGAGAAACATAGAGTAGGCCATTCAGCCCCTCCAGCCTGTTTCACCATTCGATAAGATCATGGCTGATCTGTACCTCAAATCCAATTACTCACCCTTGTAACGTATCCCTCGATACCCCAACCTAACAAATACCTGGGCATCATTTAGGTGTGGGCCTTCATAGTAATTATCAGAGGATAGTATTCGACCAAATGGGGAGAGACAGAGGCCTTAAATCCCTTGCCCAACACTATCTTCCAGCAGGAGCAACAATGTAATTATTAAGAAATATAAAAATATTTAGAGTTTACTGAGGATGTTGAGAAAAGGGTAATTGTAAACATAAACATAAGCAAAGTAGGTAAAGAGAACATAGCACAGAGGAACGGGAAATATTTGAAGTTTACTGGGGATGTTGAAAAAAGGATAAATAAACATAAACTAAATGTAAGTGAAGTAGGTACAGAGAACATAGCTGAAAGATGTAAACAGGCCTGATTGTGCCTCACTGGGAACAAACACTCATCTACCTTGCTCATCAGAGAAGCCGCCCTCTGTGAGCTGAGGCTCTTGAATCAGACAACATGAACGTACTGGAAATATACCTGAGGCCTGTGTTTATACCGGAGTTTGTCCCATTTGCTTTTCTCCTGAGACACAAAAGAATTGAGATCCAGAGTGAAAGGGCTCTTTATGGTCTGATGTTTTCCCTCCACAATCCAGGACCACTGAGGCCAACTATGACCCACAAACTGAGAACAGCCGACACAGCCCAGACCGGGTTTCAAACCTGTAACCTTCTGGCAAATGTATAGTTAGTTACAAGTAATAAATAACACTCACTGCAACAAGCAACACACACAACACTTCATTCAGTTATTGTTTATATGTATACAATACAAATAGTCAATCAGGTCTAAATAGTTCAATACAAGAGGCAGATGGTCGCCTTCTCCAGCCTTTTCCCATTCAATAAACGTCCATGAACACATGGTGATCCACCTGCCCCTCAGTGTGTCAATGAGTTGCGTCCCTTCAACATTCTCCGGAGTATGACCTCGATGCCACCCCGGGTGCTGATCCGCTTCATCCACCCGTGCGTGCGCTTGCGTTTGATGTTCTTGGGCTGGTATTCTGTGCCGCGCTTCCTGGTCCTCACCTGCTGCTGCTGTGGGAACCAGGGGGAGAGCTGGCCGGTCAGACGCTGGAGGAGGCCGGCCGAGGTGGGCAGGTCGGCGCGGGAGGCAACCGATGGGCGGAATAGAGCGGAGCCGCACACGGCCCGCAGGCTGGAGCTGAAGGATGAGGCAGGGGCTGGAGGTCGGGTCAGCAGGTACCTACAGAAAGGAATCGGGAGTTTTAAAGCTTGATTTTTTTACCTCTGTGTATAGTAATAACAATCATAATAAAATTGCTCGCGTTGTTGACAGCGGCTACAACGTCGAAACACCTCAAACTGCGTCACAGCGACTTACTGTGAAAGGTAGTGACTGCGTGTTTCGTAGGCGGACGCGACGGCCAATTGGCACTCGCAACGTCCCACTAACAAAAACTCGCGGTTATATTTCCTGCACACGGGTGAGAGTTACGGAGCGGAGCGCTTAACAGTGGAGAGCTTAACGCTGAGCCGGAGGGGTGTGTGTGTGTGTGTGGGGTCGGGGTGGGGGGTGTGTGTGTGTGTGAGTGTGTGGGGTCGGGGGTGTGTGTGTGTGTGGTAGGGATGGGGTCGGGGAGGAGTGTTTGGGGGGGGATGGGGTGGGTGTGTGTGGGGGGGGGGGGGGGGGGGGGGGGTGTGGGTGGGGGGGGTCGGGGGAGTGTGTGTGGGTGGGGAATGGGGTCGGGGGGGTGTGTGTGTGTGGGGGGGGATGGGGTCGGGGGGGGGTGTGTGTGGGGGGGGATGGGGGATCCGGGCCGACACCGGCACCCGAATAAAATCCGGTCACTTCCAACCCGCGACCCGTTTGGGCGCCATTGGCTGCCGCCTTCCACCCACAAATGACACAGTCACTACACTTGGCAGCCTGACCCGGGGAAGCGCTTTGAGACGTCCGGATGGGCGCCACCGGCCCCTCATTGACTTGGGTACCTGCAGACCGCCGCCATCTTGCAGCCCAACGCCGCGTCCTCTCGTATCCCGCCGTCCCATTGGTCGCTGCTACAGTCCCGCCCCGCCCTCAACCAATCAAACGCCGCCTTACCGACGCGTCGCTTTGGACGACGCGCATGCGTCCCGCCCGGTGCATTCTGGGAGTTGTAGTTCACAGCCTTTGCTGCCACTCTGATACCTGTTCATAAACATCATAATCAATATTCACTTTACAACTGGACACGTATGAGGCTGATTGGATGTTTCGTTGAAAACGAGATCCACTTGAGAAATCCTGTTGTTTGCAAACTGCATGGCATAATTCTATTCATCTATAAGATCTCTCTATTACCTGTCAGATCATATATATATATATGTGAATCTATACATTTATATGAAAACCCAGATGAAATCAGATTATGCTGCTTTGTCTGAAAATAAAGCAGAGACAGTTTTTTTAAAAAAAAAAGAAAAAAAAAGTCTGATCGTTGAGGTTTTCTTTACAATGGATTTCCAGTTTCAGATCGGCATTGCCACCATTTCAAAAGTGTATGAAATCTTTCTCGTGGTTAACCTCAACTGTATTCCTCACCTTATCTAAATTTACACCCAAATTTTCAAATGAATTGGCTCCTCATTTCTCATATTCCTGTTCAGTGTGATGTTACTACTTGAAAAGAGAAGAGAATCCTCTGCTGTCCTAGACAAAACAATCTCCCCAGAAAACAAAAAAAGGGGTCATTCATTTTATGGCTGTGGTCCAATTGGCTGCTAAGTTTGGCTCAAAAATACTAAGTCTTACAGAAAGCTCTGAAGTGTTTTGAGATGTTTCAGTAGGATAAGATGCTATATCGAATGCAAGGTGTTGTCTGATTGACACCTGATGGATATAGTTTTTTTTAGCATGCACTGTTGGTGCAATACATTCCCAAGTGCCCAGAATTGATTTGTTTACTCATCTGTAGTTTCAAGGGGATGGACAAAGGTGTGTGTGTGTTTGTGTGTCCATCTGCAACCAGGGCTGCCTCTGCCTCCTCATCCTCCTTGACTTCTCTACTGCTTTTGACACCGTTGACCACTCTATCCTCATCCACCGCTTCTTTTCTCACCTCAACCTTCACGGTTCTGTCCTTGAATGATTCAGATCGTACCTCTCACACTGCCTCCACTTCATCTCATAAACGGTTTCTCCTCTAGCTCCCATATTGTCTTGTGTGGGATTTCTCAGCGCTCTGTTCTTGGTCCCCTCCTCTTCAATATCTATATTCTCCCTCCTGGTGCCATCATCTGCAGACGAAGGGTCAACTTCCACATGTATGCAGATGAGACCCAACTGTACATCTCTGCCTCCACCGTTGACTCTAGGACTGCTGCTGCGCTAACAGAATGTCTGTCAGACATCAAGTCCTGGATGAGAGCTAATTTTCTTCAGTTGAACATCAACCGGACTGAGGCCCTCCTGATTGGCTCCCGTTAGCGCCTCCATATCTCAGGTGCTGACAGCATCACCATCCATGGATGCAAACTCCACCTTGCTAAGCCAGACCGGAAACTTGGCATCTTGTTTGACTCTCAACTATCCTTTCTACCCCACATCTGTGCCATGACCCGCTCTGCCTTCCCCCACCTCCGCGACATGGCCTTGCTCCCCCCTACCTTTGGAACCTCCTAACCCCTTACCATCCCTCCCCCCACGCAATGGGCAACAGCCTGCTTCATGTCCCCTGCCTCACTTGCCCCACCATTGGAGGGCGGGCCTTCAGCCACTCTGCCCCCACCCTCACCCCCTCCCTTGCCTCCTCCAAAACCCATTCAAGACCCTCATCTTCAACTGCTTTTGATCACCCTGATTCACCCCCTGCCCTCCACCCTCCCCAATCCCAACTCCCAGCTTGAGTCTGAAACACAGACTGTCCAGCACCTTGGGCCATCCTCCTGACATGAAAGGTGCTATACAAATGTAATTTTGTTTTGTGTATGTGTATGGGAGAGGGTCTTACTGGACAGTGATGAAGTGCAGAAATCCTGCTCAATTTACCCCAGAGTTGCTGAGAATAACTGTAGTTCCCTCCCCAATCTTCCCAGTATACTGCAATCCTGGTTGAAATAAACAAACTCAGCATAAATAATTATTTATTTATTTATTATTATGAAAATTGAATCTGTGGCTTTCTTGACTTGTATAAATCACTAATTCACCACAATGTGCATTTTGCCACTGAGTTAGCCAGTGAATATTGTTTCATAGGTGTTTGGATTCTAACAGAGCAAGTCTGGAAAAAAAAACATTCGTAGTGGTTTTGTTTCCTGCAATGATAATGCTTTGTCCGTGTTGGCAAGTGGCTTTGTTTTTCAGCTCGCTGTAAAGCAGAATTCTGTTCCCTGGGGAATACAATTTTACACTGAGTGAACAACTCATGCATGGAAGGATAGGTAGAGCAATCCAGAAACACACAAAAGTCAACATTTATCCACAGACAAAAATAAAGAGATAGCGAGAGGTAGGCAGAGGTAGACAGATGAGTGTTAGTCATAAGACATATACCTCACTAGATTCATAGGTACGCAATACATTGTTATAATAATAACATAATGATAATAATCCTTGCATTTGATATCACGTCATCGAGATGGCTCAAAGTGTTTCAAAAATAATAATAACCTTTAAATTTGTTATTCTGTCTTTCACATCAGTAAGACCTCTCAAAGCGCTTCACTGGATTTTACTGTGAAGTTTAGTGACTGTGTATTTCCTAAACAAAACACAGAAGCCAATTTGTTCACAGTCATATCCCACAAACAGCCAGCCAGTCAATACATACCATTGTATATATTCATCGATCCGTGCAGATTAGACCTTGGTCCTTCAAGACCCATCTCAAGACCCCCATTTTCGACCGTAACTTCGGTCACCCTCTTACCCCTACCTGCCACAACCACCATCTCCCCACCCACCCACCCCACCCCCTGATCTCAACCACCAGCTCGGGTGCAGATCCCTGACTGTCCAGCGCTTTGGGACGTCCTCCTGACATGAAAGGTGGGATACAAATGTAATTTGTTGTTGTGGTGGAGGTGGGACAGGTGCATAAATGAATGCAATGGGGAAAAAAAAGAGAACCAGGACTCTTGGGAGCACAGGCAGGTGAACGACTGTAAGATACCCCGTCGACAGGCGGAATGCAAGACACGCCTGTCAACCTGTTGACCTACAGGGCTCGGTCAGGGGCAGGGATGGTGTAAGCAAACAGGTAGATTGAGCTGGAGTCTGAACAAGGTGCAATTTGACGCATCTTGAGGGACCCAGGGGCAAGGTCCCGCCCTCGGAGTCGGAGGCGATTGGCTGGATTGGGTTGATGGGCAGCCGGATGGCCGAGCTGATTGGCCGAGGCGCCTGTCAATCAGAGCGGGGGGCGGGCTTTGGACGTGCTGTTCAGACTCACTCGTTGGATTTGAAGGACAGAGACATCTTGCGACCAGACATCAAAACAGGGGGAGGGAGACAGGGAGAAGGGGTTACAGATCCACACACATACACACACACGCATACAACTGCAATCCTGGCTGACAACATGTAAAAACAGAAAGCAAAGGGCTGTGTGTGTGTGTGTGTGTGTAGTGGTGGTGGTGGTGGAGGGGTTGAAAATAAAAGTCAAATCAAATAAATCCAGTCTTTTTTTTGTTTTGCAAGATTTTCCAATTTATTTGTATCTCACACACACATATATACATCAAAAAAAAATACCCGTGCGTTTGCAATTCCGAGGAACGGTGCATTTTCTGGTTTTTTTTTAAAAAAAACTAAAAAAAAAACAATAAATGAGGTAAGAGAGATTTCTTTGAAAATTGTTCAATTCTCCTTTGCATGTCCAGTACAGTATTTAATTGAGCCCTCTCTCTCTGCATCGATGAAACGTTTTTTTTTTGCTCTGTTCTGTTCGTTTGCCGGTTGCATTTCGAAGTACATGCAATTGCATTTCATTTTCATTTGGAAAAGACTGAAAATAACGCTTATGATGCAGATGGAGAGCAGTAATGCATATATTTGGGGACTTTTTTTTAATCAGCTAACGATTTATGATTTATTTACAGTGTGTGTGTGTGTGTATGTTTTGTACAAGATACATATAATATTCATCAAATGCATTGCAATTGACGTGGACCTGCAGTTGTTTACATGTATTTATTGGCTTATGCGGGTTTATTATCGCCTGTGTGTGTGTGTGTGTGTCTGAGATTTAAAGGGTAAAGCTCGCTGGAGCAAATCTCTGGGGATTATTAAAATACCTGCAGTTGGAAAACAACGTGAAGGGAAATATCATAAAATCCCAGAGAACGATTCGGAATAAATACTGGTAACCTGAGTGGGAGAAGGTTACATTGTAATGTGCAAAAGAGGGTTAGCGTTTCAAAAGAAAGGGGAATGGGGAATGGGTTTAATTGCCTTTTTGTGGGTTCAGGTTATCCCCGCTGTCCTGTATCCCTGGTGCTGAAATCGACACAGATAACTAGACGTTAGTTATACTGTACATAAGAATTTGCTAGGCTAAAGAAGACCAAGGTCCATCCAGTTCGCCTTCCACCATCCTGGCAGTATCGTGTCATGTCCCAAACTATATATTGTATCCTGAGATATTATTCCCTAACAGAAATCTAATTTGTAATATATGACATTAGCAGTGCAACCGAATAGGGATTGAGCCAGATGTTAGCGGAAGCTATATCCAAGTCAGTTGATTTCGATGTTGTTAGCCCGTGAATAATGTTGGCAACTTGCAGAATGCTTCATCCTTGCAAAATCTCTCTCCTCCCCCACACCCCCATATAAAACAATTATGCGATTCGATTTTCAAACGCAAATAAGAACCTTTTATCGCTTAAGACGGTGCTTAGGAAACACGTTTGTTTTACAATGTAGTTACTACCAGCCTCTTTTAACGAGAGAATTTGTAGAGCTGTTATTCTCTTAATAGCAGTGTGTACCACTGATCACACCACACTGTAATATCCCCAACACTATTATCCCAAACACCATTTATTTTACCAATATCGCTTTGCCTTTCCGCACCTACAAAGATTGCAGATTTTCTCAGTGGAAATGTAATTTACAGTCTACACCTCAAAAGGCTTAATAATAATCCTTGCATTTGATATAGCGCCTTATCACATCTTCACAACGTCTCAAAGCACTTCACAGGATAGACTAGAAAGTGAATTGACTGCATATTTTGTGGGTGAAACGTGGCAGCCAATTGTGCACAGAAGTGTCCCATTGGATTGAGTGACAAATTATTATCATTTATTTTAATTTTTTTTTGAAAGGGATCATTACCCCCGGAAAAGCGATCTGCCAATCAACTAACAACTGGGTTCCTACTTACAGCTAGAGGCCTGTGGAGTAAGGAAACTTGCCTAACATTTCGGCTTGGCATCTCTAAAGGCAAATTAATTATTAACCAATTGATTTTTTTTTCCTATTTAGTTTAACCCACAACCACTTTCCAGCCAGTTCAGGTTAGAGACCGGAGAAAGCTTCCTCTGGTCTTTCCCCATCAACAATGCATCTCAATGCTAACCTCAGAATGCCAATGGAATCCTTTCCACTACAGTATAGCCATCTCTGCTCTCTCTGACAAACCTACCAGTTTGATGAACAGTTTAGTGCTGTTTTGTCCTGTGAACCCAGCCACCAATTAATAACAACAACATGCATTTATATAGAGCCCTTCATATAACATCTCGGGACACTTTACAAAGATGGGGTCAGAACCCCACATGTTACATGTAACCCTAATCCAGTCCCACTCTCCTGGTCACCCAATCCATGACTGTTTGTGGGACACTGCTGTATGCAATTATCTGCCGTGTTTCACCCACCAATACACAGTCAATTAATTCACTTTACAATATGTTCTGTGAAGCGCTTTGAGATGTCTCAACGACATGGTAAGGCCTACATCAAATGCAAGGATTATTATTATTAGTGTTATTAGTGTGGAGGCTGGAAGAGAATCCAGATCAGAGCGAACTTCTTAATGTTTATCATTTGCAATCTCATCACAACTTTAGCCATGAGTTTTATTATGGCACAGCTATCCCTGCACATTAAACCCATCGAGTCTGAATTTAGGCATTGAGATATTGGCAGTGTGATGACTGATATTGATATCTCTGTGACAGCGTTAAAAAGTCCAGGGTGTGTGTGGTTTTTTGATTTGACTGAGCAAACCCAGTGAGCTGAACAGTCAAAGCCCTCAGTGCAGGGTAGCAAAGAGCTTCAGAGAGAAGATACGATCAGTTGGGGAGCAGAGTTGAGAAAATGTGGAGATTGGGGCTTGAAAAGCTGTAGGACATAGGATCACTCAGATAATGGATGAGCTCCAGGGTTTTGAGATCCTGGCAAGACAATGAGACAGAGAAGGAAACCGTGTGATGAGCCTTGATTTCAGCACAGTGAGAATAAGCAGAGAGGGGGAGGGTTGTGGAGGACAGGTGATTTGGAGAACAGTAGCAACAAGGAAGTAGAGAGGTATGGACCTCAGAATGGTATGTTGAAGTTCAGTGTCCGACTCAGTAGGAATCAGCTGCCAATTGGTATGGTTCCATCTCAATATTTTATATAAACTGTGTTTAGAGGCAATTGTGAACTCACAGATTTGTCACTTCACAAGGATATTCAAGTAGGAGAGAGTCACAGGGCTCTGTGTATAAATACTTCAGCAACCCTGCTCAGATCCTGTTGTGTACGTGCATTGGAAACCGCAGAGAATACTCTGTAAATGCTTACTCTTGTGAGGTTGGAAAAAGTGATTGAAGCATTTGCAGCCGGCAATCAGCATGTGTTGAGTGCCTCTGTCTCGGCTCACACCAATTTGCACAACTGAAGACTGACTTACACAAACACAGTGTCTCACACAACTAAATATGGCCTCCTGCACAGATTTGTAAAACTGCAGCACACTGATTTACGTGATTGTGCACAGATCTACACAGCTGCACGTTGATTTACACAACTGTACACTGACTCAAAATACTCCATTGTCTTGCAGCGCTGTAGTGATCTTTCAACGCTTTGGGACGTCCTCCCGACGTGAAAGGGGCTCTATAAATGTAATTTTGTTGTTGTTGTTGTTGCATAGCTGGCCGTTGGCATGTGAGGCTTCACAATCACACACTGAACCTCAAGAGAGAATAATAATAATACTTGCATTTGATAAAGCGCCTTATCGTGTCGTCGAGACATCTCAAAGTGCTTCACAGGATACACTGAATCTCCCTCATACAGGAGTAACTGAGGCTAATTGTAGCCCAGTTGCTAAGGAAAGCTTAGCACAGCACCACAGACAGAACTCCAGTACTTTGCCAGTCTATGGATGGCTCAGCCACTCACTGGATAAACGAGCAGATCCATGGCCTTGTGTTAAGAATGAAATAAAATTGTAGAGCAATGGGCCCAATTGGCAGAAGGGGTTGGAGTTTGGAATTGGATGGAGTTGTGATCACTCCATCCCCACTCAATTGAACTGACGGCCCAGAATAGACTTGACCCTTGGACTAAGTAGCTGAGGAAAGGGGTGGGGGTGGGAATCAGGAAGGGGTTGAGGGAAGGACTGCCTTTGTCCATCAGTTGTTGCCTTCAGGGGAGATGCCAAAGAGGATAAATCTATACAGTGAGAGAGAGAGAGAGTGAGGGGGCTGGGGGAAGAATCTTCTTGCTGACTCACTGAGTTTCTGAAAGAGCTGACATAAATAATTTAAGTCTTGCTGCATGTACAGTGAGAGCAGATGAATTCTGAATCAAAGCTTGGATTCCCAGTTCGCTGAGGTATCTGTGCTGAGGCTCATCAGTGATCAGTGAGAGATGGAGTCTCCAATTCTAGGCTCTGGGCAGACCAGAAGTCGCCTGAGATGATGCCAAGTGGTGTCACGCCTGCAGAACCATCTGTATTAAATAAGATCCACTGCCTTTAATGGAACATAATCCTTCGTTAAATGGAGTTTCTGTGGTAACCTTTGATGCACATTTTCAGTCCTGCTCTCTTGAAGACTGTGGCTTTGAAGTCCAGGTCCACAGGTCCTCAATGCACTGGCTGTTTACCTAATGGGAGCCTGAGAAAGGAATGTCAACAGGAACAACACACACACACATCGACAGTCAGACACATGCCTGACCTCAGTTTGGATGAGGGAGTGTCCATTTACAAAGATTTCCCCCTCCCCCCCTCCCCCAACCTAGATGAATTAATTTCTTGTATTCTTTGAGAAATAAAGTTAATAATAATCCGAGTTCCTGGATTTTCACGTCAGGCGAGTTGCTGAACGATTTTAGAATGATGATTCTTTAAAATTAGTCTTCAGGTTTTACAATAATAATCCAGTGCATTTGATATAGCGCCTTATCGTGCCTTCGAGACGTCTCAAAGTGCTTTACAGGATATACTGTAAAGTGAATTGACTGTATAGTTTGTGGGCGAAACGCGGCAGCCAATTGTGCACAGCGGAGTCCCACAAATACTCGGGGATTGAGTAACCAAATTATTATTATTATTATTTTTTCAAGGAGTCCTGAAGCTTCTCATACCTGCTACTATCTCTCTCCCATCTCTCTCCCTCTCTCTCTCTCTCTCCAGGCATCAAGATGCTGACCAGCATCACCGACGGGATAATGTGCTGCATCACAGGGCGGACATTGAACGTGGTGGGGCCTATCGACAGTGTGGAGACCAGTGACGGCTTTGACTATGTGGAGGTGAAACCCGGGCGGGTGTTGCGTGTCAAGCACATCGCCGGTGCCCAGACCTCGGTGGAGCCCCAGCCCTCTCTTCCGGGCAAAGGCTCGGTGCATTGTAAGCGTAAAATATCCGTCTACCGCAATGGGCAGCTGGTGATCGAGAATCTTGGCGACGTCATCCGCTCCGAGATCCTGCATTGCCAGAACGGCAACACGGAGCCAGGCAGCACAGTGGAGATCGAGCTGTCCGAAACCTCGGGCCAGGCCAACGGCAATGGCAACGGCAACGGCAGCGCCAACCCCCCCGAACAACCGTCCGGCAAACGACGCAAACGCAAGCCCAAGAAGACGGTGGTCATCGACTGCAAGAAGCGCATCACCAGCTGCAAGGGCACCCACTCTGACGTGACTCTCTTCTTCATCCACGGGGTGGGGGGCTCGCTGGACATCTGGAAGGAGCAGCTGGGCTTCTTCGCCAAGCTGGGCTATGAGGTGGTGGCCCCCGACTTGGCGGGTCACGGCTCCAGCTCCGGCCCCCGCATCGGGGCCGCTTACACCTTCTACGCCCTGGCGGAGGACATGAAGGCCATCTTCAAGAGATACGGGAAGAAACGGAACATTCTCATCGGACACTCTTACGGGTACGGGATCTGTGCTATTTTTTTTTCGCCCACAAGATACAACAGCAGATTATATTTCTTTAGCGCCTCTCATGGCACGTCGGGAGGACGTTCCAAAGACAATCAATCCGCTTTACAATGTATGCAATAAATTTGGTCACTTATTGGCAATCGGCTGCTGCTGCTGTTTCACCCACAAAAATACACAGTCAATTCACTTTACAGTGTATCCTGTAAAGCGCTTTGAGACATCTCGAAGACACAATAAGGTGGTGTATCAAATGCAAGGATGATTACTATTATAATTACGGGCAAAGTACCGTGCGCTCCCTCTTTCTTGTTGACCGTTGAATTCACAGACGCCTACAGACCCAGCCTTGCTGGCCTCTGTGAGTTCCTAATAAAAATAATCCTTGCATTTGATATAGTGCCTTATCACGTCTCAAAGCGCTTCACAGAATATACCGTAAAGTGAATCGACTGTATGTTTTTCGTGGGCGAAACGCGGCAGCCAATTGCGCACAGCAGCGTCCTACAAACAGCCGTGGATTGAGTGACCAAATTATTATTGTTATTATTTTTTTTAGGAAGGAATTATTACCCCCGGAAAACGACGAGTTAATGTACGTTTCTCCTCTGGGAGACCCGGGTTTGAGCCGCTTTCTGTTTTCCTTTCCCCAGGGTTTCCTTCTGCACGTTCCTAGCACACGAGTTCCCTGATCAGGTGCACAAACTGGTGATGATAAATGGAGGGGGGCCAACTGCCCTGGAACCCAGTCTCTGCTCCATCTTCAACCTGCCCTCGTGTGTCTTGCATTGCCTCTCCCCCTGCCTCCTCTGGAGTTTCCTTAAGTAAGTTGTTTGGGGGAAGATTAAGCTGACGCCGGTTGCATTCGCTATAACCGTCTCATTTCACACACGTACAACTAGTGCCTGCGAGATACCAGTCACTACGCTTTGCAGTAAATCCTGCGAAGTGTTTTTGAGATGTCCTCCCGACTGTATCAAATGTAAAGGATTATTATTATAATAACCTGTGCTCCTCTTGTGTTCCAGATTTCCCCCTTTTCCTACATTTACCAGTCTATGAGCTTAGACCCAAACCATTCGTACCGACAATAACGTTTATACAGTAACACCACCACTGGTATGTAGACTGAATGGATCGAAGGGTTTGTTGTACAGGCAAGAGCGAGCGCCAAATTGGGGAGGAGAGGAAGATTTTGAGGGTCATGACCAAATACATCGCCAAGAGAGAGAGAGAGAGAGAGAGAGGAGGTGGTTTTAAGAGGAGTTTGAGGTTGGGAGAAAAGGAATAATAGGAAGGGATTTTGGAGAAGAAAAACAGACACCATCTATGTGGGGAGGCTGCATCTACAATTATTATTCCCCCCCTTGCTCTAAGCCAGTGGTGGCCAACCTTTATGGTTGAATTTTCTTGATTTGAATATCTCTTGATTTACGCCACAAATCAAATCAAGAAAAAAAACTGAAAATACACGACCGATCGAACACGGACTTACCTAGACTCGTGCGGATGTTCTGGAAGGGCTGCTTCTTCATGGCTGGTCCCGTGGGCCACATCCGGCCCGCGGGCCACGTGTTGGCTACCGCTGCTCTAAAGCGGTCTCTCCCCACTTTTCTTTCAGAGCGGGATTTGCGCATCAAGGTGCCAAAGAGAAGCAGCTCATGAAGGAAGGGAACGCCTTCAATGTCTCGTCGTTCGTGCTGAGGGCGATGATGAATGGTCAGTACTGGCCGGAGGGAGACGAGGTGTATCACGCTGAGCTGACCGTTCCTGTCCTGTTGGTGCACGGGATGCACGACAAGTTTGTTCCCATCGATGAAGACCAACGCATGGCAGAGGTAAGAGAAACATCTTTGCCATCAGACGTTCACTGTTTGACCGCTCGACTCAGCGAAGTTAGTGACCTGGAAGTGTGGAGAATCCCTCTTCATACAACCACTTCCCATCTCCACCCCCACCCTGCCCACTCGCAAGGGGAAGAAGCTCATGCATAATAATAATATTAATAGTCCATTTGATATAACGCCTTATCATGTCTTCGAGACGTCTCAAAGCGCTTCACAGAATATACTGTAAAGTGAGTTGACTGTATATTTTATGGACGAAACGTGGCAGCCAATTGCACACAGCAGCGTCCCATAGACAGTCATGGATTGAGTGACCCGATTATTATTATTTGGTATTAAAATATATAATTATTATTTTTTAATAAACTTATTATTATAGGGATCATTACCCCCAGAAAAGCGATGCACCAATCGGCTAACAACCCGGGTTCCTACTTATTGCTGGGTAAACATTGGCGTGTGTGAGGAGTAAGTAAACTTAAGCTTTCGCCCTGACCTGCCCGGGAATCGAACCCTGGTCCTCTCGCTTGCGAGGGGTGCTCTAACCAGTACACTACGGCAGTGGTTAGAGCACTCGCTTTGCAAGTGAGAGACCTGAGTTCAATTCCAGACAGAGCGAAACCTTGGGCAAGTTTCCTTACTCCACACAGAGCCTAATAATAATCCCTCCAAAACCAAAAACAATAATAAATTGGTCATTTTCAATCTACGACTGTTTGTGGGACATTGCTGTGCGCAATTGGCTGCCGCGTTCGCCCACAAATATACAGTCAATTCACTTTACAGTGTGTTCTGTGAAGCGCTTTGGGACGTCCTCCCGACGTGAAAAACGCTATATCAAATGCAAGGATTATTGTTATTATTATTATTAACTCCACACCGCTGATTTCAGCTTTGTTTGCCTCGTTAGATCTTACTGATCGCATTTTTGAAAGTCATCGAGGAGGGCAGTCACATGGTGATGATGGAGTGTCCGGAGACTGTCAACACACTCTTACATGAGTTCCTGCTGTGGGAGCCTGACATGAGCACCAGTCAGAAGTCAGAGACTGAGCCAGAGATGGAAGAAGCTGCGGAAAACAAGTAAAGAGCTGGGGTGGGGGGAAAAAAAAACTTTAGAAAGGGGGGGGAAAAGAAAAGAGAGACACTAAGGGTTGACGGTAGAAATTTTCCCAGATCCAACGTGTAGAGAAAGGGATTTTATTCACAGTTGACAGAGGTTATTCGTTCGTTCGTTCCGTTCCATTCGTGGAGATATTCTGAACTACGTGAGGGCTGTAAGAGAGGTGCAGGGATTAACGACACCGCCACGCGAGTGAGGTGTGCGAGAGGATTAGCCGGGTCCTCGGGGGTCTCGAAACAGGCCTCGGGTGTCTGGCAAAAAGAGCGGAAATGTGTAAAATGTACATTTTGATAAAACGGCAGCTAAAAAAAAAGGTGATTTCTTATCAATTTAGGTGTTTTTTTTTAAAAAAGCGAGGGAGAGAGGCGTAGTAAACGTTTATTGTAATAAGTCACCGTCTAATTCTATCAGTGAGGGTGGAGAGGGCTTTTAGAACATGCTCTAGGCAAGGTCTTCAACCCCTTCTTAGGGACATAGGCACAGGAGGCTCTCTGGGGCAAATGGAGCAAGGTGAGACTATTTGTGGATTGGATTGAGAGAGAGCTGGTACTTGGGGGAGCGTTTATTATGCTGAGACTCTTTGTAAGGGAAGGAAAGGGCACATCTGAATTAACACTTAAAGCAGCTTCCTCACCGCCACCGCAGTGTTCACCAGCTCGACCGACCGACCGACCGATCAGTCAGTTAACAATCAATGTCCAGTACCGTCCTGTTATAAACCCTGAGTCAAAGGCTCTGCAGGTAATGGTTGCGCTTGACATGGCACGGAAATGCACAGAGAAGCAAGGAATAGACAGGGAGAGAAAACACATTGCCGGGAACGAAAGCCGTGGATTTATTTTGCACGCTGGACAATGAATATAAAACAGAAAAAAAAAAGAGGGTAATCTTATCTCAGCCGAGTGCTGTCGATCACAAACAAGCTTCAATCAGCCAGGGGAAGGGTTGACGCCAATTTATGCTTAACGTAGCACCTTTCATGTCAGGAGGACGTCTCAACAGCAACTTGTGTTTACACAGCGCCCTTCACACAGGGTAACATCGCAAAGCTCTTCACTACGTAAAAGACTAAACTTTTGCACAGAATCCGCAGTGGGGTAGACACACGCTGGTATCAACCTGAGCCAATCCTGAGTCACAAATTCACCCCCACACAGTACTCTATACCCAACTGTATTATCGGATAATATATAATGGTTATATCATATATAAAAGTGCAGCTGTACATAATAGATATAATTGTGATTTGACAAACTTGGTGTCATTCTGTTACAGACCAATATTCATTCCATTCACTACAATTACAGGGCAGCCAAAAACAAACATATTGCAGCCTGTAACTCATTCCCGTGGACCAGTCATTCTGTATATTACAAAACAACTTGCATTTATATAGCGCCCTTAACACAGGGCAGTGTCTTGGAGCGCTTATTATTATCCACCTGAACCTCTCAATAAGAATCCAGTCTGTAACTCACTGTAATTCACTATCTGTTCGTATCAGTAAAATTTGCTGTGCTATTTCTATTAATCCTCAATCACAAGCATTTTGGCTTGTGGAACCTGGGAATCCTATTCCAGTGTGTTGTGTTGTGTACATGTGTATGTTTGTGAGTGACCTATTCCGATTTCCTGATCAGGTAAGACAGGGATCAGGACTCAACAGACGGTGTGTCCCCATCCCGTTTCTCTCTCAACGTTTTGAAATATATATTTTTAAGTTTTCCTTTCGGAAAGAAAAACAAAAGGATATTTATTTATTTTTTTAAGTGAATCACACAAGGAGAGCGGTAAGTAAGGGCTGTAGATAGACGGAGTCCAGCTCGACAGACAACTGAGACGTGTGCTTGTAACAGCAGTGGGAATGCTACCCCGTAAAGCCAATTCAGCACTAGATCTGACACAAGTGTGTGCATCGCACACTTATCCTGACTCAGTTATCCCCCGTAATAGCGACTCCAAGAATTAATTAAAGGAGGGTTTACAGACTCCGAAGTCAATACATCTTCACTCCCAAAGATTCAACTCCATAGACTTCCCCTGCCCGCCCAAAATGTCACGCAACTATAATTAAACTGAAATACACATTCTCGTACTTTAGAAAAATATACCTTTTCCTCCCTCCTTTTGTCCCTGAGATGCTGACTTGTGCCCAAGGAGGGGGGGTGGCGCAGAAACTCTTCCAGGGGGGCGACAACTCCCCCAAACCCATCCTTTCCCCTAAATCCAGCCTGAAATTTTGCTGGAGTCACCCACCTTAAGAACCATGCAAATTCAGGAATATAAGATTTTCCCCCAATTCTGCGTTTCTTATCTTTTTTGAGACAAAATTGTCCTGCAGTTTAAGTTGATGGAATTTCAGGCCTCAGATTCTCCCAGTGATAGGTCATTTAGGGAGTGTTTTTTAAACTCTCTCTCTTCCCAGCCCAGGGCAACTCTTAACACCTCAAACCCTCCGAATTATTCATAAGAATATAGGAATTGCTAGATGAAAGAAGACCAAGGTCCATCCAGTTCACCTTCCACCATCCTGTCAGTCGCATGCACACGTCATGTCCCAAACTATATACTGTATCTCAAGATATTCCAACAAAGACCTACCTACCCCACTGTCAGACAGAGAGCAAATAGTGAAGCAGCAAATATTCTATTTATTTCACTCGGTGCAGAATCAATCACCACAATATATTTACAAAACATAATAATGTACATACAGACACACACAAACACATACGTATAAGATATATATATATTTTTACGAGCTTGACAAAGCTCTGTGTAACACCTAAAATAATTGCTGTACGTTTCAGTGAGAAATGTCGATGTAAGAATTTCACAAGAACCAATATAAAGTGTACGTTATATATAGTTATCTAACGTGTACGGTACAAAATTGCTTATTAAAAATCAGATGACTGTTTCTTTGTGTCGGTCTGGTTTGCTGAAGCATGGGGAAACGTGTGGGTCAAACTGCGGTGCAAACCTCACAACAGCAATTTGAGCTCCTATACGAGGCTGGCATTCAGTGTGTAACTGAGACTGCTGCAGTTCTATTTTGGTCACGGCAACTGAATGCCCAGTAAACAACAACAACAAAATTACATTTGTGCAACGCCTTTCACGTCGGGAGAACGTCCCAAGGCCTGGAACCCAAACATTCACAAAGATGACAGCAGAGATGGGAGGTTTGGTGTTGTTACCCTGGTGCAGAGAAGGTTGGGAGGGAGGTGAAGATAAAGGGAGGTAATTGAATAAAACTTCAGTAAACAGCAAATAGGGAGCGAGATTAATGAGTGCGCACATTCACTCAATTGGAAGCTCTTTTCAAAGAGAGGCAGAGAATGGCCTCCTTCTGTGCTGCATAATTCCATGATTCTATGAATTGAAGACTGGGAAGAAGAAAGGGGAGAGTCGAAGGAATTTTAGAGTGTGAAATGTCTCACTACAAATCGTCGTTGAAACAGAAACCATAACAGTATTCCAAAAAGGGAGCAGAAAAAATATCAGAGAGTACGGGGTGGGGCGGAGGAATAGGTCAATGGATTAAAGTAAATAGCTTTAGTGAGAGCTAATAGCAGCTTAGGCACAATGGGCCAAATGGCCTCCTATTGTAAACTTGATCAGTGAAGTGGCTTTAAAGACTTTAAAGATCTCTCTCTCGCCTCTGAGAGAGGTACCAGCTACTTACATTGCATCGCAACAACAACAACTTGCAGTCACATGGCACCTTTCACGTCGGGAGGACGTCCCAAGGCACCGATCACAATAAAGATATGGATAAACAGTGCAATGATTTTAGACTCTTTGACGATTTTATGGAAAAATTACTTTTTAAAAAAAACACACAAAAAATACAAATTGCTTTTATGATAGCGTCTTTCACATCAGGAAGACATCCCAGGGGCTTGAGACATCTCGACAAGGCGCTATACCAAATACAAGGATCATTATTATTTTTCGAATGATATGCGTTGTAGACAGAGTCCGTGTCAGTGAGTGGAGATGGTGGGCTCACTGAGGAGAGCAGTCTGCATAAAAAAAAGAGCCCAGAAGCAACTGAACAAACGAGGACTGAAAAAATAACAACGATTCCAAATAAAGGAACCAATAATAATAATAATAATCAATAAGTGAATAGGCATCTCCCAGGAAGGGGATTTCAATGGCTCAGTTGGTGGCTCACTGGCTCAGATGAGAGTGGGGATGGGTTCATAAAAAAAAGATAAATATTAAGATTTTAAAAACGTTTGAATTGGCTCAGCACTGATAAAATCAAGGGGGTGGGGAGGGGCGGGGAGGGAAGAAAGAAAGTTCCTGTCCGCCAATTCACTGAGAATACAAGATGGACAGATGGTCTAAAGCGTTGGCGATAGATCAGGGTTTTAGCTGGGCTGATAATCTCTCAGCCCTGCACTCACTGGAGTCTACGATTCCCCTTCGCAGACCACTAGTGCCCCGACACTTAAAGTTAAAATAGGGAACTTAAAATTAAGCTTTGTTGATACAATTTTTTAAAAAAAATGTGCGTGTGTGTGTGTGTGGTGTCATGGAGTCAATTACTCCCTTAGTTCAAACAGGTTAGCAGCTGCTCACCCACACACACACACTGCGTCTTATGGCAGATAAAAGAACTGCAACCGCAGAGGCTTGTGAGCCTCTCGTCCTGCCAGAAGACTGAGAGAAACTGGAGTCAATTAAAATAATTTTTTGGGGGTTGGGGGGGGGGGGGGGAAAGAGATTAAAAACATTTCCTCGGGGAGAGGAGGAGGGGCTCCAAAATATTTTCCACACAACAACCAATTGCATTTATATCGCGCCCTTCATGCAGGGCAGCATCCCAGAGCGCTTACAATACATAATACAAAATACCATACAAAATTTCATTCAGATGGCGCCTTTCACGTTGGGAGGTCGTCCCGAGGCTGAGCTCACTCGCACTCACACTCACTCACACGCTCACCCATACACACACACACTCACCCATACACACACACACTCACCCATCCACCCACTCACCCACACACACACACACAAAGGCCTCTTTACAAAGTAGCCCTGTTGACGTCTCCCGCTCTCCTGCCTAGATGTCCGCGGGTCGGAGCTGCCTTTCGCCCTCAGCCAGGAAGATGAGGGAGGCCTGGCGTATGAGGTGCACCCCCAGCTGCCGCCTGCGTTTCATAGTCCACGTGGCCACAGTGCCGTAGTAATCGCCCCTCTTCTGGTTTGTCAGCTTCGGTAACCCTAGTGTGGTTTGCGAGGAGGAGGAGAGGTTTATAAACCAGGACAGCAGCAAAAAATCATGGGTAATTGGAGTCGAAGTACGGATCGGCCATGATCGCATAGAATGACAGAACAGGCTCGAGGGGCTGAATGGCTTCCATGGCTGGAACTCCATGGGGACATAGAAATGTACAATACAGGACTGGCCCATCGAGTCCTTGTTAGCTGCCCCTTTAGTCCTATTCTCTTGCTTTGCACCCCCTCCCCCCCACCAACAAATCTAAAGGCCGTTTGTATTTCTCACACACATTGGACCCAAGTTGTGCTTTTCATTCCCACGTTAAAATTTACACCAAAGTCAGCCATTGAACCACATGGACTTGCACTGTGTGTGTGTGTGTGTGTGGGGGGGGGGGGGAGTGGGGGAGTGATAAAGAAATAGGTGACTTACCCAGTGCGTCGACCATGCAGGCCTCCCGGGTAAAGGCCTCGACAGCAATTACATTCTGGAAACAGTGCAGAGAGATGACTCCCAGGCCATCTGCCCAGATATCCATAATCCTCTGTAACTTACTGTTCACCTGTAGAGGAGAGAGGGGGAGGGAGCGAGAGAGAGAGAGACAAAAAGAAAGCAAGGAAGAAAGCAAGGAAGGAGAGAAAGCAAGCAAGCAAGGAGAGAAAGAAAGAAAGCAAACAAGGAGAGAAAAAGAGAGGATTTTAAGCAAACATATAAGGAACTTTTGACCTTATCCTACAAAAGCCCCAGTTTTGTCATTGAGTTGCTGACCAGCTCAACCCCAAGACAAAAAGTGTGTTGATGTCACTCTCTGTCCAGTTCACTCGCCATATGTGGGCGGGTGGGCGGGAGGGGTCGGGGGGAGAAAAGGGGAACCCAATTTGGGAAACTGAGGAGCAGAATGTCATAGTTTGCAAAAACAGCCAGCGTTCTGAAGGGAACTTCATACTCCTCCGACAGGCTAAGAGCAGGTGGAATTTCATGACTCCGTACCTGTGCTCGCACGTTGTTAAAATGCTTCTGAGCTTCGTTGAGATGGCTGTACGGCCGAGAGCGCTTGCCCTTCCCCACGTAGAAGATGGCGTTGACAAAAATGCGGAAACAGTCATCGTCGCTCAGTGCGTGAGACCGAGCCGGGAGGTTCATAGTCACTCTGGGGNAAAAAATCAATCCATCAATCCATCCATCAATCAATCAATCAATCCATAACAACAACAACAACAAGATTCCATTTATAGAGCGCCTTTCACATCGGGAGGACGTGAAACACAACATACCTCCTGCTCAAATCGACACCGCTTTAACAACATGAAACTGAATTTACAGCTTCAGTTTCTTTCTCAAATAAAAAGTAAATGCGAGAGAACAGCAGAGGTTCGAGAGGCTGTGGAGCCGGGTGAGGGTGAGGGTGGGGCTGGGGGTGGTCAGGTCACGGAGCCTGGTTCAGGAAAGGACACGGGCTGCAGAGTTCTGAATAATCCGCAGCCTGTGGAGGGAAGAGTTAGAAAGTCCGGCGAGCAGGGAGTTAGTGTAGTCAAGTCTGGACGTGATGAAAGCTTGGACAAGGGTCTTGGTGGCCCGAAGGGAGAGTTAGTGATGGAGACGGGCAACATTGTGGAGGTTGGGGGGACACACACGGGATAGCTGAACGGGACAAGGCAGCCACAAGGACCTGGGGTCGAGCAGCAGGTAGTTGAAGCTGGATTTGACAAGGCCCCCTCTCCACCGGCGAATCTGGTCTGGCTGATCAAACTGCTGGGACAGTATCAGCTCATCCTGTCTGCAATCCGGGATCACGAAGGTCTCAAGACTCCGACAAAGCTCAGCGCTGAACTCTGCGGCGAAACGAGTCATTTTAGTTACTCAGGAATAGTTACGTTGAGAATTCTCCTTTCCCCCACCACTGCCCCCCCCAACCACTGCCCACCCCAAAAAGGCTGAGAGGTGTCCCCGGGGGAGAGGATTGGGCTGTGATATCTCCCACCGCAAACCACCGGTAAGTATCTTGAGCCGAATCAAATAGGACCAACCAACAGCATCTTGGGCCTGTCGTCCAAAGAAAGTTGTGTGCGAGTGTGTAAGTGTGTGTGGAGTGTGAGTGTGGGGTGTGAGTGAGTGAGTGTGAGTGGGGGAGTGTGAGTGAGTGTGGGGGGTGTGAGTGTGAGTGAGTGTGAATGGGGGGTGAGTGAGTGAGTGTGAGTGGGGGGTGTGAGTGAGTGTGAGGGGTGTGAGTGTGAGTGAGTGGGGGGTGTGAGTGAGTGAGTGTGAGTGAGTGTGAGTGTGTATGAGTGAGTGTGAGTGGGGGGTGTGAGTGAGTGAGTGGGGGGTGTGAGAGTGTGAGTGGTGAGTGAGTGAGTGTGTGAGTGGGGGTGTGAGTGAGTGAGTGTGAGTGTGGGGTGTGAGTGAGTGAGTGTGAGTGAGGGGTGTGAGTGAGTGAGTGTGAGTGAGGGGTGTGAAGCCCCCATTGACGTACCCGCTTTTGGAGGCCGCCGCCGCGGGGCCCGAGGCTCCGCGACCAACCGGTTGAGGCGCCGGAGGTAGACGTTCCTGGTGAGGCGGGTGACGGGCCCCGGGTCTGCCCCGAGGTCCCGGAGCCGGAGGCGGAGGCGGCTGTTGGACAGGAGGTCGGCGGGAGGCGATCGGCCGCTCGACCCCCGCCCCCCCGCCTCCTGCCCCGGGGGACGGTCCACCGGCACCGGGCAGCCCTCGGGGTCGGGCAGCGCGGGGCACCGGGAGCCGCCGCCGCCGTCTTCGTCGCCACCGATTTCCGTGAGCCACGTGTCGTCGTCCCACCGGTCGTCTCCGCCCGGACCCCCGCGGGGGCTCCGGACAGTCACCCGGTGACCCTCGAGCGCTTCAGCCGCCACCGCGGCCCCGACCGGGACCGTGTCCGGGTAACTCTCCTCGAGCCCCGACGAGGAGGAGCGGGAGAGCGGCGTTCCGTCCACCCCCTCGTCGCTCCCTCGGCCGTCCCAGGAGTGGTGGCGGCGGCAGGGGACGACGGGTCTCCCTCCCTCCCCCGCCCTTGGGGGGCTGCGGACCCGCCGGACCCTCGCCGGGGCGGGCACGGGCCGGTCGAACAGGGACGAATCGCGGCGGCCGGAGCGCGGGGTGACGGCGGAGGCGGAGGAGGAGACGGGCGACGGCGGCGACGGCTCGAACTCACTCTCTCTCCTCTTCGGGTCCGACGTCGCCTTCCTCAGGAGCACCGCGAGGCCGGAGCCGCCGCCGCCTCGGCCCGGGGTCCCCTCTCGCCCCGCGGCGGGGCCTGGGTCCGGGCTGACATTGAGGCCCTCGACCGCGCTGGCGTACAGCTCGGAGCTGCTGTCCGAGTCGCCGTCGCCGCTCGGGGGGGAGTCCCGGCCGTTGGCCGCGCCGTCGCCTTCGTCGTCGAAGAGGAGCAGAGACGCGTCCACCGGTTCGGACAGGCGGCCGTTTGCGGCGGCGCGCGGGTCAGGCCGGAGCGGCCCCGGTGTCCGGTCCTCGGCCGCCGCCGCCGAAAGTCCACTCAGAGAAGCCCGGTCTTCGGGGGAGTCACACCGGGCGGTGCCGGTACCGGTGCTGGTGTCGGGCAGTGTCCCGCGGTCGTCAGTGTGAGTCTGGCCGTCCGGTCCCGGGGCTCGCGGTCCTGTAGACCGGGTCTCTCCCGAGGCGCCGCCGCTGCTGCTGACGGTGCCGCCTCCCCCGTTGCTCCGGGGCGGCGGGGAAACTGCGAGGCTCTCGGTTGGATCGGTGAAGAAGCGCGGCCGCCCGTCCACTGGTGGTGGTGGTGGTGGTGAAGCTGCCACTGGTGGTAGTAATAATAATAGTAGTAATCATAGTAGTAATAATAATAATAATAATAACTGCATTGGGGGATAACAGCCCCACGTCACGTCTTCGGGGCGTTTCCAAGCGCTTCTCAGGCCCGGGGCGTCCCCCACCGCCGGCCGCACACTCCGTGGGGGCGAAACGCGGGGCTCCGTCTGAGCACTCGCAACGCCCCCCCCCCCGCTGCCCCCCACCCCCCCGCACGACGCCCGCGGCGATCCGCTTGGCGGTAACGCGCCCCCTGAAGCGCTTCCAGGCGTCTCGCGGGGAAGACCCCCGACGACGAGAGAGAGAGAGAGAGAGGAGAGAGGGGGTCCGTGGAGTCCCGCAGCTCTCTCAGGGGTTAGAGCACTCGCTTTTTTGAGCGAGAGACCCGGGTTCGTTCGTTCAATCCCCGGCGGGTCAGGGCCGAACCCTCGGGCGAGTTTCCTCACTCCGCACACGGAGCCCTAATAATAACCCCTCCTCCCCCCCCCCCCCCCCGCACCCCAAAACAGTAATAAATCGGCCGTTTTCAACCCACGACTGTCTGTGGGACATCGCTGTGCGCAATCGGCCGCCGCCTTCGCCCACAAATACATACAGTCAGTTCACTTTACAGTGTGTTCTGTGAAGCGCTTTGGGACGTCCTCCCGACGTGAAAAGCGCTCTATAACCAATGCGAGTATTATTATTATTATTATTATTATTATTAAAACGTGAGGGGGGGATCATAACCAGCGGAGGGGGTTGCAGTTGCCCAGAGCAGCCACTGGGTGGCGCTGTACGAGGGGGGAGAGGGCACTGCAGCTCAGCACTGTGATTCAATACAGATCCCGTGGCGCCCCCCAGTGGCCGACCTCAGGCATTGCCACTCACTCGCTGCCGCACCCGAAAGAGTTGAGTCGAGTGCCTCGAAAAGCTATTCAAACCCACAAAAGATTTTTTTTTTTTTTTCTTTCGCGGATTGAAATTATTCTTTTGTGGAGCAGTAATTCATCGCCAAAGGCTAAAGAGTCGAGCGCTTTCGAGGCTGGGATCCGGTTTGGCTGAATGTCCCCAGAATTTGAGGAGGATCCCGATCGCTTACGCTCGCTGCCCCCGAAACGACTGGGTTCAGTTGAATCCCGGTCGGGGCGGTAATCGGGGCCCCGGTGGGTCGCAGTAACCCGAGCGAAAACCAGAGATCTCGCTTCCTTCTTGACCGTCACCCAGACCGAACCCCACCTTCCAGTAAGGGGCAGGTCCACGCCCACACTGGGATGCTTCCCCGCGTGAGGGGCACGATATGAATGCAAGTTGTCGTTGTTGTCGCCGGGTAAAGACATGATTGGGGCTAAAGTCTCCTGCGGTTGAATGAACTGTCAAGGCTGACACAGAAGCCAATGGATCTGTGCCTTTGTAAAGGAAAAAAGCTCCGACTGACCATATTGGTGCTTTGGGGAGACATCCAGAGGCTCCTGGTTCAGGCTGAGCTGTCGATATTCCTTGAGAATCCGAACACATTTCATGTTTTTTTGTTCTTCAGCCAAATCTTCCGGTTTCATTCCATCCTAGGTGCAACGTGAAGCACAAAAAGGCATCAGTCCAACACTCAGAAATAACCCAATTCCCCCCCAATTTCAAGTCAGCTGGCCGCTCATCTCATTATTAATAATAACCCTTGCATTCGATACAGCGCCTCATCAAACGGTCGAAACGGCTCAAGGTGCTTCAAGAATAATAATAATCATCCTTGCATTTGATACAGCGCCTTATTATGAATCGAGACGTCTCAAAGCGCTTCACAGAATATACTGTAAAGTGAATTGACTGTAAATTTTGTGGGCGAATTGTGGGCAACGTCCTTTAATGGGTTGTTGCTGCCTTTGCCAATATAAAAATTCACTTCACAGTATGTACGTGCTTTGGGACTTCTATTTTGGCGTGAAAGGTGCATGTCTGATACAAGTTGTCGTCGGCGTTACGTTCAACCTCGAAGCTACCCAGCGCCTGCGCAGGAACCCCTACCTGGTCTTGGAGGCTCGGATCCCCTCCATATCTGAGCAACAACTTTAAACTCTTAAGACAGCCCCAGGAGGCAGCTATGTGGAGTGGGGTGAGATCCTCCACCGTTCTATGCAAACCAACGAGACGTTTGTGTTATAAACACAGACACGGGAGACACACACACACATATATATGTAGCGCGTCCCTACAATTTGTCTGCATAAACCAAACGAAGGCAACTCTGGGGACAAGGAGCTGTTGCTCACCCGAGGTTAGGATCTCCTTGGTGTTGAAGGATCAGTTTCAAGCATTTGAGCCCACCTTCTGTGTCCTTCACGGATGCCAAATGCACAGCTGCGAGACCCTCTGGTAACACCAGATTGGGGTCTGCATTCTTCCGTAACCATCGCTCCACAGATCTGGGGAAAGGGCGAGAGGTGGAAAAACATTAGGAATTTAACCCTTTCTTGCACCTGAGCTCATCCGGGAGACCTGGGAGGTGTTGACAAGTGTGCCAAAGCCCAAATAGTCCTACTTAAATCATAATAATCTTTACATTTGATGCAGTGCCTTATCATATCGCTGAGGCATCTCAAAGCACTTGACAGGATTTTACTGTGAAATGTATAAATGCAGGCAAGCGTGGCAGCCAATTTGCACACAGTAATGACCCACAATTAGCCATGAAATGAGTGACTAAAGTTTATCAGTCGGACAAACACAGAGGATGTAACATTGGTTCGTGCAGAAGGGAGACCATTAACCCCTTCCAACCAACCTGATATTTTGCCAACAAAATATTCAGTCAATTCACTTTACAGTATATTCTGTGAGGCACTTTCATGTGATAAGGCCCAATATTGAATACAAGGAATATTATTATTAACTTCGGTGAACCTGCACTACAGACAGACCCTTCAGCTCAAGTTTCTTGGGTTCAAAAGAAAATGTATCAAGATTGTAGAAAACATTTCAACAAAACCAAAGAAGCACTTGCATTCCAAAGCTACAGCATGATGATTTCAGGGTGGGCTTTTTTCGTGGCAAATACGTAATTCTAAATTCTTCCACAACAAATCACTCAAAATTAATTCTATACACGACTTAGACAAATGGCATTCCTGCCCCCACCCCCAACCCACCAAAAATAACACCAAACAAGGAGCACTCTATTTTGCAAACACTCCAAGGCAAAAATATGAATCTTGTATAAATCGCATGGTTTTCTCTTTATTTTAAGAAAACAGTCTTCGCTCTTTGCCTGAAGGTTGGGTTGAATTCCACAGGCACCAAACACCCAACGGTTCTGTTTGAGCGGTCAGTCATGTGTTAGCGTCGTGGACGAATGCCGTGGGGGTGGGGGGAATTGTGTGAAAGCCAAATTGACCCACTATACAGAGATAAATTGTATTCGGAGTCCTGTAGCTCAGTGGTTAGAGCACTTGACTTGCAAGCGAGCCACCTGGGTTCAATTCCAGGCAGGGCAAAATCTCGGGCAAGTTTCCTTACTCTACACACCTAATAATAATTCCTCCAAACCAAAACAATAATAAAATTGGTCATTTTCAATCCATGACTGTTTGTGGGAACACTGCTGAGCGCAATTGGCTGCCGAGTTTCGCCCACAAATATACAGTCAATTCACTTTACGGTATATTCTGTGAAGCGCTTTGAGACATCTCGAAGACGTGAAAAGCGCTATATCAAATGCAAGGATTATTATTATTATTATTACTATACTGTCATTCCAAGTTGAAAACCAGCACAGATTTTTTATTGACCTGTTCCATATATCTCAATGTCATGAGCGATCCATTTACTGGCTGAGCCAGTGAGATTCACACAAAAAAGAAATCGCAATTGCATTCACACAATCTTTTTCTAGCAATCTCTTCAAATTCACAAAATAAAAAAGATGCTTTGGAGAACTTGACTCAAACAGAACGTTTCCTCTCTGGATAAACCCTGTATTGATTAACAGTTAGGCTTAAATAAATAGGCTCGTCTGACACTCCAATGCAGAACTGGGGGAACACTGCTTTGGTGCAGGTCACCGAGGTAAATAATAATATTCCTTGTATTCAATATTGTGTCGTCCTTCAGATCAAGATGTTGAATTGAGGTCTCATCCGCTCCTTAAAGTGGAGATGAAATATTACACAGCATCATTCAGAAACAGAATGGTAGCCTATCAGTTTCTCCCAGTGTCCTAGCCATCAATTCCCCCGCCACCCCCACCACCAAATTAAGTCATCCACAGCATTAGCTGTTGTATTTGCCTACAAAATCAATTACTACACGGACAGCAGATATAGCTTTCAATATGATAGCGCTACCAACCTGCCCGCTATCTCTGCTCAGCGGGCTCCAGCCTGCTTCATGTCCCCCCCTCACCCACCCCACCATTGGCAGGCGGACCTTCAGCCACTCTGCTTCCACCCTCTGGAACTCCATCCTGCAGTCCCACTGTCTCGCCCCCTCCAAGACCAGTCTCAAGACCCTCCTCTTCAACCGTGCCTTTGGTCACTCTCCTTTCCCCCCCGCCCGCCCCGATGGCAAACCCCAGCTCAGGTCCAAAACACTGATTGTCCTGCGCCTTGGGACGTCCTCCAATATAAACTGATGTTAGAATCTTAAAGGGGGTGAAGGAACAGAGAGACCTGGGGGCTCATATAAGTAAATCTTTGAAGGTGGCAGGACAACAACAACAACAAGATTACTTTCACGTCAGGAGGACCTTCCAAGGCGCTGAAAAAGGTAGATAAAGCTGTTAAAAAAGCATACAGGATACTAGGCTTTATAAACAGGGGCATAGAATACAAAAGTCAGGAAGTTATGATGAACCTTTATATAAAACACTGGTTAGGGCTCAGCTGGAGACTGCTCAGTTCTGGGCACCACATTTAAGGAAGGATGTCAAAGCATTGGAGAGGGTGCAAAGGAGATTTACCAGGAATGAGGGACTTCATTTATCAGGAGAAGCGAGCGAAGCTAGGATTATTGTCGTTGAAGCAGAGAAGATTAAGAGGAGACTTAATAGAAGCTTTCAAAATTATGAGGGATTCAATAGGGTGAACAAGAAGAAACTATTTCCACTGGCGGGTGGGTCGCTAACCCGAGGGCAACGATTTAAAATAGTTGTTAAAAGAAAACAGAGGGAAGGTGAGGAGAAATGTTTTCACACAGCGAGTTGTTGGGATCTGGAATGCGTTGCCTGAAAGGCTGGTGGAAGCCGATTCGATAACAACTTTCAAGAGAGAAGTAGATAATTATTTGGGGAGGACGAGTTTGCAGGGCTATGGGGAGAGAACGGGGGAGTGGGGTTGATCAGGGCTGTGGGGAGAGAATGGGGTTGATCGGGGCTATGGGGAGAGAGTGGGGGAGTGGGGTTGATCAGGGCTGTGGGGAGAGAGTGGGGTTGATCGGGGCTATGGGGAGAGCGCGGGGGGAGTGGGGTTGATCGGGGCTATGGGGAGAGCGCGGGGGAGTGGGGTTGATCGGGGCTATGGGGAGAGCGCGGGGGGAGTGGGGTTGATCGGGGCTGTGGGGAGAGCGCGGGGGGAGTGGGGTTGATCGGGGCTATGGGGAGAGCGCGGGGGGAGTGGGGTTGATCGGGGCTATGGGGAGAGCGCGGGGGGAGTGGGGTTGAATTGGAAGCTCTTTTTCAAAGAGCGGCACAGACACCATGGGCCGAATGGCCTCTTTCGGTGCTGTACACCCCTATGATCAAAAGCTCCGGAGGATCACTTACTCGGCTTCTTCCTCCTCCACGGCGTGGTGAAGGTTGCGGGCCAGTCTCTCGGCTTCCATTACCCCCCGACCCCGACCCCGACACAACCGCAGACACTGACCCCACCACCAAAGTCGACCCTCTGCACAGCGGCTGCGTCGTCGCCACAGCTGTACCCGCGTTTCGTTCAAACAAACCCCGCCCCTCCCGCCACCGCTCCTCCAATTGCAACGCCCAGAGCTTTCCGCCAACGGGAACGCCCCTTCTCGCATTCAGGCCAATCACAATCCAGCAATCAGGCCACGCCCACTCTGCTCCCTTCCTATTGGCTGCCCCGGTTGTCAGTCATTCAGAACCTGTGAACCCGCCTCCCCACTCCCTGATAAACACCCCTCCCCCCCGCCCCGAGCTCAACCATTGGCAATCGAGGGGACGGAAAATGCTGCATCTGTTACAATGAAGAGCGTTTCGACGCAACCCGCAGAAGTGCGCCCACAAACAACAGTGCGTTGTCGTCTCTTATTGAGAGGGTTGGAATCGAAAAGGGATAAATCGAATCAGAGTTGGTGACGGGTTTCTGACCTTCCGCTCCATCTCCCTCCCCCTCTCCCGGTTGGTTGCGCCTGATTTGCAGGCGAGCGCGCATGCGCCAGGCTCAGGCTGGCGAGGCGGTTAATCGCGACTAAACCCCGCGCCCCCTTTCCCCTCAACTCACAGGCCGCTGAAACACGTTTTAAAAAAGGCTACGACAATCGATGGTAGCGGGAGAGGGAGGCGGGAGGCGGCGGGGTCGGTCGGTCGGTGGGGGGGCGGATGTTAATTCACCGGATGTAGATGCAACAGCTCCACCTAACTTGATTGCAGTTAGTCCCGCCTCCGCTCAGAGCTGATTGGGCCGTGGAGTGGAATGCGCCGCCCCGATTGGCCCCTGGGGCTGCCAATCGCTACCGGAAGCACCCGAGTTAGGTGGGCCGCGCAAACCAGGCGCGGAGGAGGGGGGGGGGGAGAGGTTCTGCCCCTTTTAGTGCTCTTTATTAAGTGTTTGCAGAGGGAGCGGAGCAATGGCTTCCCCCTCTCTCCAGTGGACAGGCGGAAGGTACAGACAAACCCCTGCGATGGAAGATTTTTCCCCGCAATAAAATGCACACATTTAAACATCTACTCAATTGCATTGTGGGATATTGTTGTTGGCAAATTACTTTCACTTTTGCCAGAGGGCAGAAGCGGTGTCTCTCCCTGTGGGGGTGTCATTGTGTGTGTGTGTAATTGTGTGTGTGTGTCAAGGTGTGTAATCGTGTGTGTGTGTGTGTAATTGTGTCTGTGTGTAATTGTGTGTGTAGGTGTGTAATTGTGTGTGTGTGTGTCAAGGTGTGTAATTGTGTGTGTGTAATTGTGTAAGTGTGTAATTGTGTGTGTGTAGGTGTGTAATTGTGTGTGTGTGTGTACCTGAACATGTAAAGAGTCTTTTTTTTGGTGGGTGTTGCATTTATGCCATACCCTTCCGGATTCGATTTGCATAAAATCCACAGTATTACAAGGTATTGTGCATGCTTTGTGCTTTTTTTTTGGGTGGGGGGGTAAATAATAATAATACTGTTGTAAGGGTCCAAACACCAGCACCTTGGGACGGTCTCCCGACGTGAAAGGTGCTCTATAAATGTAATTTTGTTGTTGTTCCTGTAGGAAGTAAAAGTCTGGTGTTTGGGGTGTGGAATAGGATCAAGACAATTGATAGGATTCTACAGTGATGGTCTGAGATGTCAGTTGTGATTGGGGGAATCTCTTCCTGTTTCCAATTTGCACAAATGTGAAACTAAAAACAATTGTTCGAAAACGTACATTATAGCTACAACGATGTTATGCTAATATAGAGTTATGGTTAATATATAGCCATTGGAGATTTGGGTATTTTCACTTCTGGGATTAATTGATTTGTTTCCATATTTATGGAATGTTTCCATAAAAAAATCTGATCCGCTGCTCAGAGATCCACTTCAGTTTCAAAAGCTGGCAGTAAGCAGGTAGCGTTTTGTTTTGCCCACAAACTATACAGTATATTCTGTGACGTGCTTTGAGACGTCTCAATTGAAGTGATAAGGCACTGGGTAAAGTTCAAGGATTATTATTAGCTTAGTCATACAGAGAAAGTCTTTCCTGAGTTAGCAGATCTCAGCAAAGGCAGGACAGTGGCCAGGGCTACAGTTGTCCTTGATGCCACTGGATTAGGAAAGGGCGAAAACATTCTGGTTTTGTTATTCTGAGATCCTGCTTCTCTGGCTATCATGTGAGTGAGGATAAGATCAGAATCAGTTAAATTTCTGGGCAACGCTCACTGTCTAGGCTGGAACCACAACAGCTCTCGGGTAGGAGACGACACAAAATTGTCAAATCATTCCCTGATAACCATGTACAGTATAGCAAACGCTTTTTACAGCACGTGTCAGAGGTTGGGCAGAGGATTAAGATGTAAAGTTGAGAGAGGGAGAGAGATGGAGAGCTCAGTCAGGATCTAACCCAAAGCACTGCCCCGCATGAAGGGCAAGTTGTTGTTGTTGTATACATGACCTAGGACTGCTTGGAAGTAATTGTAGAAAAACACCAGCCTCAGCAACATCCTTTGCCTTGGTAAAGTGAAAAAAAAATCACCGGAAACAAATACATAGATACCGTACATATAAACTGCCCTGATAGTGTTTCAGCAGAGTCCTGGGAAAAATGAACAAAAACGAGCAGGATGGGAAGAGACTTGTGGGGGGAACCGCATGTATGACAGAGAGCGCTTCTGGGACAGATCAACGTGACGAACGGCCGCCTGTGAATAATGGAGACCAAGGCACTCGAGAGGCTGCAAGGTTGCCCAACATCATAAAGATAAAATATGCAACGCTTGAGATCAACGATGATATGCAGCAGATAATCACAGTTAATACTGAAAGCTGTCCCATCGTCAAGGACCAAGATCAGGACCAAACAACCTCTAACTCGGAAGCTGTTGCTGTATCATCCAAAGGTAAGTTCTGTAAAATCACTAAAAGTATTAACTGTGACGCGCTTTGAGACGTCCTTCCGACGTGATAAGGTGCTGTACTGAATGCAAGTATTGTTATTAACATTTAAAGCTGCCTTCAAATTCAGACAAGTAGAGCACAACCATACGAGGAGGCCATTTGAAAGTAACTAGCAGTATATTAACTGCAACTTGATGCTATTTAGTTTCTACTATTTAAGGAACCCCCAACGTGGAGTGTGGTTGAAGGTGAAAGGTGGACCCATTTACATTGGATAAGCTACACTGTTGAGTTTCCATTGACAGGTTGTTACGGACACTCTACAGACCATCACTGGATCGAAGACGCAAAGAAAGATTGTTTGCTAACACGACCAGCCGCTGATTTCAGTGCCCTCGCTTTGTCTCTTTCAGATTCCGTCTACAACTTCCCATTCTCCTTCCCCACAAAGTCCAGCGCCCAGCACAAGTACTCAACCACTCTGACGAACAGACAGAGGGGGAACGAGATCTCAGCTCTCCCCGCAAACCTAGACAGTGAGTAGGACGGCTGCACAGTCTGGAAGTCGTGGGAAGGAACAAGTTCAATTTTGCAAGCTTTAAATTTCATGCAATTAACGTAATGAATCCAGTTTGCGAATATCAAGAATATTGGGAATGTGCGTTATTTCCCTCTTCTGACCAAGGCTTTTCTGTTGCTTTTGTTTACAGCTCTCTCCATTCACCAGCTGGCTGCTCAGGGGGACCTAAATCAATTGATGAAGTACCTTCAGCAAGGTGAGGAGCAGAGAGCAGTCTTAATTGCTAGTTCTGAGAGAGAGGTCACTGGCACTTCCCAGCTTGCCCCTCTCTTCCCCCCCCCTCGTCTCAAGGCAGGAGGGTAACAAGTGCTCCGAGGAGAGGGTTGGGAGCGTACGAGTGTTGGGAATGATGGGGGGGTGGAGTTGCTGATGATCTTTCTGTATCTTCACCGTGGTGTGACATGTTCTTCCATTTTCAGGGGATTTCTTGATCGATCTGCAGGACGAATGGGGCTTCACACCCCTGATGTGGGCAGCGGCATTTGGAGAGATCGCGGTGGTGAAGTATGCACTGGAAAAGGTGAGGCTGAGCAAACATAAGCCAAGACCTTTCTCTGGGTCACAGTTAAGAAGGAGGCAGGGGTGGTGGGGTAAGGCCTTGCACTGACTGGTAGGTCCTGTCAAATATCCATGGGGGGGAGGAAGCTTCAGATTATTTTAGCTGCTTAAAAAAAAAACGAAGCAAAGATAATGTAGATAACTTAGCAACTGGGAGAGTTTATATCCTGCAAATTTTACTATGAATGAATTTATATCAATTTAATTTTAAAACTAAAGGACACCGTGGCATTCCCCTTTCATGGGTAGCCAGTGCCACAGGCAGAATGCAAGGTCAGAGCCGCTGCTGGCTAACACGACAACTACTACTTGCATTTATATAGCCCACTTCGCAGGGTAGTGTCCCAGAGCACTTAACAGGAGCGGAGTCTGACCCCGAGCCAGGAGAAGAGGAAAGGGGGAGGTGACCATAAGCATGATCACTGGGAGGTGGGTCAGCGTGGGCGATCGGTGACGGGGGGTTAGTAGGGGACAATGCACGGAGGGAATCTTGGATGTATAATTGTGTCCCACACAATATAAACCACGTGTTGTGTAAATGGAACTGTTCCAGGGCCTGAAGCCTCACGCTGGCCGCTCTCATGTTGTTGCAGGGGGCAGATCCACACATCCTGGGGAAAGAAAGGGAGAGCGCTCTGGCACTGGCCAGCGTCAGGGGCTACACGGACATCATTGTTCTGCTCCTCGATCACGGAGTCGACGTAAACATCTACGACTGGGTACGGTCAAAGGAAAACTCCTGCTTACCTCGTACTGCCTGTTTGTATACTTTACAATCCTCAGATACAGTTCATATCCTCGCACAGTACAGTCAAAGCGCTTCCTTCACAAGTATTTACGGTTAAGTGTAGTAACTGTATATTTGTCAGCAAATGTGGCAGGCACTTTGCCCACAGCAAGTTTCAGCCAACAGATATGAAGTAGATAACCAATTTACCTGAAGGATTGCAGCCAGGATAGCAGGACAAACTACCTTCTCTTTCCAATTGGTATCGGTGGTTGGACAGTATTTTTAATGGAAGCTCTTAAACTGAATGTGCAAGTGATATATTTTCCTGTATTTTTCCAGAATGGAGGAACGCCGTTACTCTACGCTGCTCGGGGAAACCACGTGAAGTGTGTGGAGACTCTGCTGGGTAAGTCTGGTGTCAGGGTGAATACAGGGTGACCAAAACGTAATGATACCATTACAATGTCTAATAAGTCTTAAAGAAATTCAGATTTTTTTTAGATAATAGAATAGTTATCATGACTTTTTTGTATTAAGGCAAACCCAGTTAGGTTTGATTCAGTGGGCAGCCCTTGACAGCACGCTTTGGCTGAGAATAAAAAATGTTGTTCATTAAAAGAAAGTGAATTCTCTCACTTTCATTTCTGGACTGGATTTAATGGTAGATACTTGAGGTAAAAGGACAATGGTTTGACCCAAAGCCCACGCAGTTTCCCTCAGGTTTTGTTTGCTCTCACTGAATTGACTTGAGCTCTTGGGGACTTTATTCTTAATGGACTGAGGGTTCCTACAGGACACAGATATCATCATAAAATATAATTGTACCTTTTGCTTTACTTGCATGCTCAGGCCTGATTCTCTCCCCACCCCTCTCTCTGGCAGCTAAAGGTGCAGACCTGACGATGGAGGCGGATTCTGGATACAGCCCTATGGATTTAGCCGTTGCTCTGGGTTTCAAAAGAGGCAAGCCTTTGCACTGAAGTTTCATGTGTTTTTTTTGTATACATTGCAACAACTCCCCAATCCCCTTCCTCCCCAGACAAGAAAAGCACAAAATCAAATGCAAGGATTATGATTACATTATGACAAAGGTAGTATTTACCCAGTTCCCTTTCTAAAAGTACTTGTGCTGGAGTCCTATAGCTCAGTGGTTAGAGCACTCGCCTCAGAAATGAGAGACCTGGGTTCTATTCCCGGCAGGGCAAAATGTTGGGCAAGTTTCCTTATTCTACACACCTTTGTTTACCTAACAGTAAATAGAAACCCGGTTGTTAGTCGATTGGTGGATCGCTTTTCCAGGGATAATCCTCAAAAAAAAAAACCAATAATATTTTGGTCACTGTTTGTGGGACACTGCTGTGCACAATTGCCAGCCACGTTTCACCAACAGACAGTCAATTCACTTTACAGTATATTCTGTGAAGCGCTTTGAGACATCTAGAAGATGTGTAAAGCGCTATATCAAATGCAAGGATTATTATTATTATGCTTAAAATGTTCCGCATTCCAACAATCCCAACAAAGCTGTGTGTGGGGGGAAAAAAAATCTAATGACTTTGTTAGAGGTTATTTAGGAGCAATGCCTTATCGGGATGTGTTAAATTGAGTTGACAGGGCAGATGTCTTGATGCTCGAGGCAGCAACAGAGAAGTTTCAATACTTATTTATTTTTGAAAAAAAACAATCAACTTCATTGTCAGGAATCTCCCTCCAACGGCAGCACCGTTATAAACATATTTTTATGCACAAAACATTAATTCTTATTGCAGTAAATACGAGCATTTGATCAAGCGCCTTATCACATTGGAACAACTCAAGACTATCGATACCACGAGTTGCTGTGAGGTATAATGTGTGTGGCAGCCTCATGTGCACAGCAACGAATTGGCTGCCACATTTCGCCCACAACATATAGTCAATTCACTTTACAGTATATTCTGTGAAGCGCTTTGAGATGTCTAGAAGACATGATAAGGCACTGTATCAAATGCAAGGAATATTATTATTTTTGACATGAGAAAATAGTCTTGTTTCAAAGTCATGATTTGCCTGATTTCTCTCTTTTTTAAACACACTCGCTCTCGCTTGTGCGAATTGCTGTGAAATTCGTTTTCGTTCTGTGTTTCAGTCCAACAAGCCATTGAAAACCATGTCTTGAAACTGCTTCAGAGTAACCGAGTGAGTGAGGGGGAGCGGGACAATCGCCCCCAGGCTTCAGCAGAGCCGGGAACTAAATCTACAGGCAGGCTTTCAGCCTAGACTTCTTACCTGGTCTTCACAGCAGGAAGATACCTTGAAGCAAAAACCTAAGGATTACACTGTAAAAAAAGAAACTAACAGATTTCAACCTTATATTGTGATATAGCCAAGGACACACCATTATCATTTAGGCATTTCTGACAAGACATCCTGAATGGGAAATTGAGTATGGGTATTGATCAGTGAAGTGATTGTAGCAGATGTAGGAGATTGTTCTCCTACATGGAAATGGCTAAACATAACTCATAAGCCGGACACCAAAAGTTTCCATTTGCCCACTTATTTATTCCTGTGTTTACAGTGAAGCAGAATCCTTTTTCAGTAGATTTTCCCAATAGGTTATTTACCTGCAGTCCTTCGAGTCAGTTCCATCAATTTATTTGATCACGGCAGATCTTTTAATCTCATTCCCCTGGTTTCTCCTCGTATCTCTTAAAAGCCTTACTTCCCAAGAATCCTATTGCTCGATCGAAAATCTTGATCGATTCTGCAGCCGTAGAAATCATGGGATTTAACAACACTGAATCGATGCGTCTCCCATTGACTGGTTCGGCAAGTGGCACAAAGGCAACCTCTTGTGTCTAAAGTGCTATGAACCAGTGAACTTTATTTCCAGATCATCATTCCTTTGTTGATCAAATCATTAATTTACACTTCGTCTGCCCTGGATGTTATGGGATCCACTCCCCCTGTTAATGTAAAGCAAGCCAGAGTTCATTATAATAGCTCCCTCACTTCAAAATGAATGTGTGTGCTTGGAGCAGTATGAGAACTTGCCTGTATCTATCACCTTTCATATAGGATGAATGTCTCATATTGTTGGGTGTCACTGAGCAGCAAAGAGGGGGGGAATTTGTGGGTGTCGATTAAAGGCACAATCAGAGATGTTTTTAAGAGAGTTTTGAAGGCAGACAGGAGCCAACATGGGTCAGCTTCTTCAAGGCAGCAAATATACAACAACTTGCATTTATATAGCGCCTTTCATGTCAGGAAGACGTTCCCAAGGCCCACCTTAATCCAAGTACAGCTCAGTGCACGTCTGGGTCATAATGTGAATTGATTGCATTCTGAATTTTCAACATACTCAAGCCCTTGTTCACAAGTGGTCATGGAAACAATGAGGAAGAAAAATATTTGACTTTCTGCTTTGAAAAACATATAAAAATAAATGATCTGTAGCTGCTCGTCTCCGTAGATGCTGTGAATTTGTGGGGAGGTTTTGCAATAGTCTGGCAATGCATTTAATGACATGAAATTTACTGCCAGTGATTCAATCGCTGGAGATTTTGTGCATCGTGGATTCAACCATGTTGTACCCTTTGCTCACAGCATCAAAGAGCTTAACTGCACTCCAGTCCAATGCTCCACTGGCAAAGGTGCCATCCTTTAGATGAGACATTAAACCAAGGTCCTGTCTGCGTGTTCAGGTGGAATGTTCAGAACAGTCTGCTTGGGGTCTTAAAGCAATTTTTCACCAAGGACATCGAGGTGGTAAATAACAATCCGGCCAAAGAAGTCTGAGCTGTTCTCAAAGACGAGCTTCAGTTTTGCAACTCTTGGCTCTTCAGTGATGGTGAAGCAGTGAGTTACATGTCAAGGACAAAGACTGTGGAAATGTTACAGACACTCACCCATCAAGTCTATGCTAATGGGTCTCTTCACCAGTCATCTAGTCTACTAGACTCGGATCATTATATAAAATATTACTGACCACAACCCCATTCTCACTACATAAAACACGGCCACCCCAACTCAGAAGGATATCTGTAGTCGGTTGGTGTCCTCAGGGTAGATTTCAGTTATCTTTGCCAGATCACCTCCATTCTCATTTCCTAGGAGACAAGACATGCAGACTGAGCCATCGGGAAACAGGCAAAATATCAGAAAGGTCACAGCGATAGAAGCAACTGCTGAATTTCTGTCCAAAGAGGAAAAGTGTGATGAGCAAACATGTCCGATCCATGATAAGGCAAGATAACAAATGCAAGGATCGTTATTATTAAGTGCACATTTGTGAATGTCACTAGATGGAGGACAGAGAGGTAAGGTGGAAGGTGGAAGAGAAGACAAAGGGGAAGGGAGGAATGGATGTTAATACAGGTAACTCACCTTCGAGTCTGCACAATCTTCCAGCGAAGCCGCCCTGGAACTGGATGTGGAGTTCGGTTACTTTGACGGGCTGAGGGAATTCGAGCAGCACCCACTGGCAGGAGCCCTGAGACAGAGAGAGACAGATTGTGCACAGTGCAGTGATGATAAAAAGCTAAAATAAAAATACCAAATAGAACAATGCCAGGACTTCACGCTGTGCCTCATCATGCCTTAAAACCACTTCACATGATGAGTGTCTGTTATGCAGACAAACATAGCAACTAATCTGGCACAGCAACCAAGATGAAAGGAATGTTGGCATTTACCCACAAAATATTCCACTTTACAGTATATCCTGTGAAGCTGTTCAAGATGTCCTGATATAAAATGCAAGGATAATTATTATTATACAAAAAAACTCATCATAGTACTTCATTTACCAGTGAATTTCGGATGAGGGAGAAATATTAACTAGGAAAGTAGATCGGACCTCAGTTTAGTGTCTCATCTGAAGGATGTCACCTCTGACAATACCGACATCTCCTCACCAGTAATGAGCTTGACTGTCAATCTAGATTATGTATCACAACGTGGGGCTTGATCTCACAACCTATTGAACCAGAGGCGGGAGTCCTACCCATTGAGTCAAGCTGACACCAAAGTCATCCAGTCATTCCTTATAACTAAAGCCACACTGTTCCGGTCTACAGGAGACCTCTACCTCCTTCCACGCTTCACAATACCTGGTCCGAGTTCCAGCAGGTCTCCTCATTACGGTCAAAGAGAAACTTCTTCCCAAACTGCTTCACATCTCGATTGAGGACCGAGCTCACCCTGAATCAGGAGACAAATGAAAGTCAGGGCCTTGCGGGCCACACAGTCTATGGGTGAACCAGCGACCCTCCCTGGGAGATTGCAGGTCGATGGGGTGCCTATACCCAGGAGCCTGGGTATCTCCCGATTCTTTGGGCTTTATCCACCAAGAGATCTGCAGTTCATCGTCACCTCATCCACCCATCCAACCTTCACTTATTCTGCTTTCGGTGGTAAAATACTTTCATGTCCACACACATAGACGACAACAACAACAACAACAAGCATGTATCTCGCGGCCCTCACCCCGGGGTAGTGTGCCGGAGCGCTCGAGCGGAGGAGCACGAAGCCGAACCGGAGGTGGTGGGGGAGGTGACCTTCAGCTACGGTCAAAGGGGAAGGTCTTCAGACCCGACAGGGGAAGACGGGGGCAAGGCGGAGGGATCGGGGGGGGGGGGGGGGGGGGGGGGGAGGGAGAGAGTTCCCGAGTTTTGGGGCGCGGTGGCTGAAAGCTGGGGATGGTGTCCGACCCACTCCCCCCCCCCCCCCCCAACCGCCAACCCCAATGGGTAGGTGCAGACCCCCAACCCCCCCAACCGCCAACCCCAATGGGTAGGTGCAGACCCCCAACCCCTGACCTCCCCTCCCCCACCCCACCAACCCCCAACCCCTGGCCTCCCACCCCCCACCTCACCCCCACCCCCCGGACAAACATCCAACCCAAGTTTGGGAAGAAGAAGATTGGGAGTTTGTGAAAAAACATTTTAATCCCCAAAAGAGCCATTTTCTGGCTGATTCCCAACTGGCCCTGACATCAGTCTCTCTCCCCTCCCCCCCCCCGCCCCCCCCTCCCCGCCCCCCCATATCCTGAGGCTACAGAAGCTAAGTGTCAGGTCTAGGCCGCTCATCCCCGGCCTCTCCCGCTCCGCCATCCCACCCCGGGGCCGCCCCGCCGCCGCCGCCGCCGCACCTGCTCATTGTCCCCCCGCACAGCGCCGAAGTCGCCATCGCAACGCCAGGCGGCGAAACCCGACCGTCGCTCCCGCTTTGCGACACCGCTGGCAGGCCCGGCCCCACTGACTTCACGACACTTTGGCCAGGCGCCGCAAACGGGATTGGCGGCCCGGCCACGGTTGCCCCTGGTTTCGCTGTCAATCAATCAGCCGCGCAGCGCCTGAACTGAGTGCCGCCCTCCAACTTGCAAAGGGCTTTATGAGAACTGGGCTGTAGTGTGTGATATACAATATATGCATTATATATATATCTCCAATGCAACGTATGATATGTAATGTAACGCCACATCCCGTCCTTTTTTTTAAAAAAAAATCTCCAAACGCTTTGCGGGAATTAATGTCGAGTGTGGTGACTGTGTGTTTCATAAGTGACACAACAACCACAACTTGCATTTATATGTGACTTGGGATGTCCGTTCCCCAACCCCCCCCCCACCCCACACACACACACACCCGATGTGGAAAGCTGCTGCTGTTGTTGTTATTGTTGTTCACATTCAATTCACTCAATTCGCAGTATATTCTGTGAGACGTTTCGAACAACGTGATAAGGCGCTATATCAAACGCAAGGATTATTGTTGATGTTCACACAGATAGCGCTGTTTTGTAACAGCGGAGAGCTTGATGCCAAGCTGGAAGAGAGGGTGGGGAAGGTGACCACAAGCACAATCGGGGAGGAAAGTCTATGGGTGTGACTTGAAGACACACAGAGAGGGGACAAGACGGAGGGATCGTGGGAAGGAGTTCCTGAGATTCGGGTCATAGTGGCTGAGAGTACGATTGAATGCAGCATCCGATTTGCACCAAGCAATGTCCCACAAACAACTATGAAATAATTGTCCAATTTTATCTGGGGGGGTGGCATGGGATCTTTATTGTCCATCTGAACAGGTACCGATGGGACCTCGGTTTAACGTCTCAGACGAAGAATGCCGTCTCTGACAATGCAGCGCACCCCCAGCACTGTGCTGGAGCCTTAGCCAAGACTGCGAGCTCAAAGTCCCAACGTGGGGCTTGAACCCACAATTTCAGAGGCAAGAGTGTGAGTTCCTGAGCCAGACTGTCACCCCAGCTCAGATCAGTGAACTCAGCACTGAATGAGATTCAAAACCTTCAGTGCTTTACCCACTGCCAGGGGAGAAGTACTGTTGTCAAGGAGAGGTTTTTAAGGCCAACTGTTGAAATATTTTCATGACGTTTGCATCTCATTATGGCCAGAAGAAATGGTGCTATAAGGAAATGACCAGCAGGTGGTATCACTGTAACATGTAAAATGTCCTGCCATTACCACTACAGTGACTTACACCATGTACAAATGGGCAGGAAGGGGGAATGCTGTTATCTTTTTGACCCTTTTACAGATGGAATATGAAAGACCTTGTGGGTCGTTGATCTTGCTCTGGGATATGGTGGGCGGAAAGAGGGAAGAGAATTAGGGAAAACGCCACTCATCAGAATATAGGAATTTGCTAGGTGAAAGAAGACCAAGGTCTGTCTGGTTCACTTTCCACCATCCTGGCAGCCGCGTGACATGTCGTGTCCCAAACTATATATTCTATCCTGAGATATTATTTCCTATAAGAACAGGAGCATAAGGACACTCAAGGTTATTCGGTACAAATCAGGGCAACAAACCAATGTGGTTAGTGTAAAAGGCTCATTTCAAACACCTGGAAAAGTGTCAATTGGGTCAAGGTCCCATACTGAACAACTGGCAACCAGACAGTGATCAGATAAACCAAAGAGAGTGTGACTCTCTCAAACCATCTTAAACATGGTGAACAAGGGAAGAAACAGCAACTGGATGAAATGATGCACAGTGTACTCGCTATTCATTTGGTTCTTCCCGATAAAACAGATTTATTTTTGGTCAGCTGGGTGTCATAACGGCTAGTTAAAGATTCTGTGACTCCATTGAAAAAGAGAAGGGAGTTTCTCCCGGTGTCCTGGTCAGCAATCCAACATTAAGATAAACGATTCAATGACTGATTTGGGACCTTGCTACGCATTGATTGCCTGCAAAACATACACTGCGACTACGCACTGTCACTATGCTTAATTAGGGTAATGACACGTGAAGCACTTTGAGATGTTTCGACGGTATAGGCGCTGTGTCAAATGCAGGGATTATTTAAAACTGGGAATTGGCACGGTTAGGATGTGAACAGCAGGCCACATCCCCTCTCGCGTTACATCATGTTATATTGGGAAGCCTGTCTCCCAGCGCGATCTCTCTGCCACCTGCGCCCAATAGTTCTGACATTCCACACTTGGCTCTGAGACATGGAGTGTCTCCAGAGACTAAGCCTGAAGTTGCCTTTTGTTCTTAAGCTGTCAGAACAAAGCCACAGGCCGGCAAACTGGACTCAAAGGTGTCCAGCTCAAGCGCTCAACAAGAATTACACACAACACAAGGAAGTGAGCTGGTAGAAATCTTTAAGGATGAAGATAAATCTATGCTGTAGATTTGGCAAATTGGACTTCAGTCTGCCAAAGAGGAGCCTCGGGCGAGATGGGAGCTCAGTCTATCACTGGACTCGCGGAGAGAAAGGCACGATCGAGAAGGACCCTTAGCTCAGGTCACAGGGTCAGGTCTAATTAAGAAGAAATCACTGTCACACGAATAGCAATTTAAAGCAGCTTGAAATGTAGATTAGAAACATGTGTTCTATATCCTCAGAACCCACTGTATAAAAAGATTCTCTACAACCTCTCCCTTAGTTTTTGGTTCTGATCTTCAACCCTTTAGCTACTAACTCACCAAGCAATAGAAATAAATTGTCCCTATTTAGGTGTCAGCGTGGCTCCGTTGGTGCTACTCTTGCCTCTGAGTCAGAAGGTTATAGGTTCAAGTCTCTCGTCAGGGCTTTGAACTCACATCGTCTAGGCTGACACTTAAGTGCAAAAATAATAATAATACACTGGGAGCACTGCATTGTTGGAGGTGGCATCCTACACATAAAAGATTAATCCGAGGTTCCGTTTCTGCCATTCAGTTGGACTATTTGGAAAGAGAAGGGAGTTTTTCCCGGTGTCCTGGCCAACAATCCCCCAGTTAAAATTGGTCAATCACTTTGTGGCTGTTTGTGGGGCGTTGCTGTATGCAAATTGGCTGCTGTGTTCACCAACAAAAATACACGGTCATGACACTAAACAGTAAATCCTCTGAAGTCCTTGAGATGTTTTGACTACATGATTAGACACTATATCAAATGCAAGGATTGTTATCACTGTATTTACCTCATCAAAACTCCTTGTAATTTTGAACACTACCTTGGTAACTGTGCTCCCTCTCCCCAGTCCGGAGACAGACAGACTCCTGTCAGATAGGAGTCAGAACTGTGAATGCAAAGTTTCTAAAGGTCTAGTTTAGCCTGGCAGCGATTCTTGCTCCGGGCAACCAAGCCAAGGTCACATCTATATTTTACCCACAAATATACAGTCAATTCACTTTACAGTCTATTCTGTGAAGTGCTTTGAGATGTCGAGAAGATGTGAAAGCGCTATATCAAATGCAAGGATTATTATTATTTATTATTATCTAAATTGCTTTCGCCCCCAGCAGGAAGCAAAGGGCTGTCTGGCCACTAGGAATGTTGTTACTGATGTTTTGTATATTCCCATAGCGCCTACGGGAGCGATCATCCTTTCGCTGAGGAATCTAACAAGGAAAATGTGGTCACTCAATCCACGACTGTTTGTGCGACACTGCTGTGTGCAATTGGCTGCTGCGTTTCACCCACAAAATACACACAGTATATTCTGTGAAGCGCTTTGAGACGTCTCAACAATATGATAAGGCACTATATCAAATGCAAGGATTATATGGGTGGGTTGGGGGGGGGGTTAGGGCTGTGGCTCGTGAGATGCAACAGAACCAGATGCCGGGGGAGAAGAGAGATGAGGAATTCGAGATTTTAAACGTAGCTCATTCAGGTTGTGTGTCCGCGTTTTTGGTAACACAAACCTGTATCTAATTGCGGGACATTATTTGTAAATATCAAGACTCATTAGTAACACTCGTGTGTGTGTGTGTGTGTCAGTAAAGTTCTCTGTCTATTCAGAGGCAAAACCAACCTCTTCTATCCCAAGAAAACTATTATAAGTTGGGAATAATCCGAAACTTTGCAGTCACAGTTCCGATTACTATTACAGGTGTCTGTCGGTCTCTGGACTGAGGAAAGGGAGAGGAAATGGCCAAGGTCTTGTTTAAAATTACGAGCAGAACTACTCTCGCTGGGCAAGACAATCTCAATCTGTTCTTATCCGTGGGAAGGTTCCCTGATCGTATCTTTCGTCTGGTCGAAAAAAAACGTTGTACAAGGGAGCACAGACTGAAGCTCAGAAATGGGCGAGGGAATTCAGTTCAGACTGAATTACTTCACTCGTGGAGCTGTGGGTGTATGGAGTGGATTTCCCAGGGAGGCAGATTACAGCAGCAAATTCAAAAGAGAATTTGGACAGATATTTGGCGAGGCATTCAATAGCAGACTGTGCAGTATCTTGCATAGCATCTACTGAACATGGTTACAAGTAGCATTTAATGCCTCGTTCATAATAGTATACAGTATTGAACAGGATTGAATGATTCGAATACTGATGCTTCCATTATAGAATTATTGACATCTTGGAATCCCCATGATTCTTCCCTGCAGAATATTTTCCAAATACTGTATTATTATTGACCTTGAGAGGGTGAAGGACTGAATGAATCCACTGGGAGTTTGAACCCAGAGCACTTCTGTGTCTCAAGGCAATCTAGTGGAAAGCAAGCAGTTTAAGTCCAGTTAAGACAGATAGGATTGCGCCATGTAATTTCAAGCGCATGCTACAGAAGTCACCAAACCACCCACCTCCCAAACTCTCACTAATGCTTCCCATCGCATTCTTCCAATGAACATAGGACATCGGAATATAGGAACAGGAGAATGCCATTCAGCCCCTCGAGCCTATTCCAGCATTCTCTTAGATCATGGCTGATCTGTACCTCAACTCCAATTACCCACCTTTTCCCCATATCTCTTGATACCCTTAGCTAACAAAAATCTATCCTCCTCA